TACATACTTTAATCCTGTATGTAAAAGAAAAAAATTATTTTTTTAGTATTAAAATGAAGTTTAATCGAAACATTCAATCAATTTTACTAATTTCAAGACTACTGTATTCAACATATTTTCAAAACTATTGTTTACCATGTTAACAGCTGCATAAATACTTGAAACTTTGAAAATAATCTTTTTTTAATTTAACAATTAATGTCCGATGGCCCATTGGTCTGAAAAAATATTCTATACATATGAAATTGACTGTGGGCGGGGGTACTCGACTCTCCCCTAATTGAAGTTTAATACTACCAAAATTATTCAAACACCATTATCGTCAATTAATAGTTTAGCATTTTTGACGGTTCCCCTAAACAAATTTCTCAAATAATTTTGCTTTTTTTGTAAAAAAATTATTTTTTTAAATTTCAATTACCCTTGATTTTTAAGCTATTTAGTCCTAAAGAAAACCCTTAAAAGCGAATCTACAATAAAAATAAATATGTGATCTTAGATAATATTAGAAATACTAATTAGATGACGCAGTCCTCAAATGCATCAACGTTAATATTTGAACTTACCTGACATAACGAGTAAAAATATATATATATATATTAAAGAACGTATAATAAAATTTTCTTTTTCCTTGTAAACTTCACTGATGTTATCTTTAAAATATTTGATTAAACTGAATCATCTGTAGTTTAATTCAAATAAATGTCTAATGCTAAAATAAATAAATATTCCTTCCGAACTATTGTAACTTTTGAACGATTTTTGGGATCGGAGACTTAAATTCCCCTTTTAACCTGCAGTCCAAATTTCAGGAACCTTTCCCGAATGGTTCTAAAAATATAAGTGGTATATTATTTATAAATAATATAAGTAATATTTTGGTAGTATAGAGATGAAAGTTACTGCAAAGAGTTGCTGCAGAGCAGTCCGCGCAGCATGTTCCCCCGAAATTTTCCAACAATTCTCGAAATCATTGACGAATGCTATATTTTTTTTTTATTCCATCATACTCCTTGTACATTTTTCTTCATATCGTCATTTCAAATTTCTAAGTCATATAGTTTTCGTGCAAAAAAAAAAAAAATTATTATCATAAGCTGAATTCCCAAAATAGCAACGGAGGGGACTCTTACAATTTTGTAATATAGAGAGAAATAAGTTTTTATCCTCTATTCTTTTGTTTCCTTAACTCTCTTTCTCTCTCTGCACGTTTAAGAAAGTATTAAAATTGACTATATCAATTTTATAAAAATGGCGCTATTTTTTTTTAAACCCACTGACATATTCTTTAAATTTTAAGAGCTATTTTATTCCTCTCTTCCCCCTTTTAAATAATATTTATTTACTTCACTTGTTTGTAAAACATAAAATTTGAATCGAGAATTAGTATAATGGTGTATTGTAGTTATAAAGCTATTTTCAATTAATCGGGTTAACGAATAAACATTTTTATACCTGTTATCTTAAATGAAAGAATTTTGTCTAATAATAACCTATACTTTCTTTCTTCTTCTTATGTTAAATGTTTATTATTTTATTACAATTGTATAATGGGATGAATAATTAAAATCACAAAACTTTGCGTTTAAAAAAATTATCAATCCTATAATGAAACTTAAAGGAATTTTCAAATTGTGTTCAATTTAGAAAACTATGAACTGTAAATTGATTCCAATCAAGATGAAAAAGTTTCAAAGTTAGGTTTTTGTGTTTTACAAAGCTAAAAACACACTCATCCATCCCCGTGAGACACTGATCGAAAAAGAGAATTCGAACAAAAGTTGCATCCTGTTGTTTATTTTATACCTTTTTTTTCCATTTTCGTTTTTAAAACCAATTAAATTTGTCTTGATCTTCCTTTTTCTTACATTTTTATAGTTGGTACACTTAATCCTTTTTTTTAATGAAGTAAAAAAAGAACAAGTAAAAAATAAACGCAGACAAAGAAAAAACAAGTTATGTCACGTCTTAACTTAGGTATTTTTTCCTCTTTCTGTATCTCAAAGAAAAGTTTTATTTTAAAGAACGATTATTACATCGTTTTGTGCTAAACAAGATGCGTTTTTACACTAAACGTTTCGTTTCCACATTTATTTTTAACGTATGGTTATTTTTATTCATAATGTAATTATCTTGTCTTATTAACTACAACGATGTCTTCCTATTTTGTGATATTTAGAAAAAATCAAAACCCTCGAACCATTAAAATTGCATGGTAAAGTGTGGCCAACTAAAAGACGCCTTGATTTTATGTCAAAACTGAACGAAAAGAAAACCAAAAAGAACTAAATATATACTTTAAGTAAGCCTATATACAAAAATATAATTACAATAAAGAACTTACATCTTTCCCAACTAGGGCAGGGAAGAAAAAAAATATTAGAATACGTAAAATAAGGATGGGAAAAAGTAAAAGCCTGAAATAAAGTCACTTCTGTTTATAACTACAACTGCATCAATATATACACCATGCTTACATATAACACGGAAATATGATGTAGATCGTACTAATTACCTTTATAGTAGTTTTAAATCGTATAATACGAAATATAATATGAGGGTCAAGAATCCGAATCCATCGAGAGAAAAAAAGAAAGTAATAAAATACGATTCACTACAAAGTGAAGAAAATTGTGGCGGCGATTACAGGTTACCCATTGACAAAATGGTTGTTGTCTAATTTTTTTTGGAAAAGAATTTTCATTGTGTTTTTTCTTGGATATCTTTAACTGGTAATCCTGAACTGCTCGGTACACAATTTCGCAGACATATTTAAATGCAGCTCCAGACACATTCTCTGTAAATTCTTTTGATGACTGAATATACATTAAACAGCTAATCACGATCAATATTAACATTTTTGGATTGGTACAAATTGGTGTTTGATGCAGATTGTAAGCTGCATCAAACACCCGTTTCGGAATCACAAGTTCATACATGTAATATGATTTGAAAGTTAGGCTTTTATTCAATTTTGCATGAATAGTGAATGAATCATTTATATTGCGTGGAAAAAAAATCTACAGTCTTGCGCAATTTATTGGGTACGTTGACAATGGATCCTTTTATTCCTAACTGGTGATCAACACCCAGTTCTCCTATTTGCATGAAAGGGGTTCGGAAAGTCACCATTCGCTCTTCGGTAGGGTCCAATTCTCTCAACCACTATGGTATTTTTGTGAGGGACGGGCATCATGCTTGCGAACGGAATCCTTTCGTTTTTCCGTTTGTGTCTAACGCTTAAGGTATTCCCGTCTACGCTCTTTGGCTTTTTCAGACTAAGTTTAGACCTTGGCATCGTTTTTTTTGTTGCTGCTTCAACTCTAACTTTTGGGACCCTCTTTATTTGTGATATTCACCTGAATTAGAATTGAAAACGATCCAGTTTGAACTGTAAGTTAGAATTTCTGATATTTAATTAAAACAATAAAAACAAAAATATCTTTCTAATGATGAAATTCTCTTTTATACACAACTCAAGAAGTATTTATGGGATCTCTCTGGTCCCATATCTCACAAATACTCACCAATTTAATGCATAACAAAATTAAAAGTGAAAAAAAAATTCTAAAGAAGTTATCAAACAGCAGTCGTCGCCATAGCAACGCATGCGCACTGTTTACTATTACTCTTGATTATTGTAGTTGAAAAGTGAGCATGAAATCCAAATCAAGACCCATTTTACTAATGGGTAGTTCCCATATCAACAGTTTGTACCAACATCAATCGAGAAGGCTGTAAACTGCCATTTTTAAGTTTCTGGTATGCCACTGCCTGATTTTGGAAACTGCCTGAAAACTTGGCGCAGAGGTACCAATATGGAAATCTACCTGTTTTTAGTTCATGTTAAAAATATACAAATTAATAATATATTAAAATTTAGCTATATGTAACTATTTTATGCATAATAAGAAACTAAATTAAAAAGAAACTACAGATTAAATATTTTTGAAAACCATATTAAATGTAAAAACATTTACATTAAACGTTAATAAATTACTCAAAATATTTGTAAAATTCAAGAATAAAACAATATAATTAAAATTTGAAACTACCTCCGATTATATTCCTTGTTAATTTTTTTTCTTCTGTTCATAATCATTTTCTTACTTTCTTAAAAAAAAATATATATATAAAATGAGATGTGATTTTCGAAGACGACGTTTTACACTTTTTATCCATTTTTTTCTGGCTATTTCAGTTAAGAAAAATTATGATAGTATTGTTCGAAAATAAGTCTTAAAACTAAGATTTCACTGTCAACAGAAAATACATACTGAACCACAAAACCAAACTTGAGTTATTTAAAATACTGAAGAAAAAAAACGTTTGGTATTTTATAATTTAAAAAATATGTTTGGCTGCAAAGTAAATTCATCAGTTAACATATTCTGCTTGCAAATGAATTTATTTACAATTTCTTAGCTATATGAAATCTCTTGAAAAAAATCCCCAGCTTCATTTCGTCATTTACATTTCTCATATGATTGCAAATTCTTATGCATTACTAGACAATGTTGACTCTTAAATGTTATATTCCTCATTAATTTAAAACGATAACAAAAATATTTTTTTTTTCATTTGAAATCGATATTTCATTTTATTTTGAATCTGCAAATTACATTTATAAAGTTAATAATAATAAAAACACTTGAAATTAAATATTCCATCTTTATAAATTAAATATTTACTTGAATTCTTTCTTCCAAAAAAAAATATACATCTTTAAATCTGTACAAAGCTTGTTTTCATAAAGCTGTCATTATTTCTGTTTTATTAATTTAATATGGTGATATTTAAAGCAATTACAGTATATAAGGATACTGAAAGAAAAATAATAATAATAAAAAAAAACATATGCAGGTTAAGAACAGAAAATGGTTAAAGTGAGAAAAAAGTTTAAGTTTTTAATTGCATTTATAATAAATAATTATTACAAATTATGATTTTAAAAGATAATTCAAAATATTATTTGCACATATTTACAAACTTTGCTAGAATAATTTTTAAAAAACATACTTTATTATCATTATAAAAAGGATGAAGATTATTGCTGTGGAGAAACTCTGGATTCTTCCATTGAGAAAATTATTAGAGGATCAAATATAATGGTAAATTTAATTATTAAATGATAATAGAAGGGATAGGATATATGTCATGACAATCATTGTATTAATTTTTTCAAATATATGGATCGCAATTTTAAGTTGCGAAAATTTGAAATGATTGCAGTATAATTGTCTGAAAAGTTTGCGAGAAATTGTCGAAATAACATAACATGCATGGAAAAAATGTGACAAATATGTATTAGTCAAAAAAAAAATATTTAAACTCATTTTGATACAGCTTAAAATGCATTTTGAAATAGCAAAAATACTGCGCAGGAAATTTTATATAAGTCACGCTAAATTCAAATATCAATTCGAAAAATTATATTTCATTCCATAGTTATGAACATTTATTATGCATCGCTTAAATTTAAAAAAATATTAAAATTAGAAAATTGCAGTTAATTTGCAAAACAAAATAAATAAATAAATTAATGCATATGACACACAAGTGCATATTTGCACAAAATAAAATGTTATGGAATGCATTACGTAGGAGTCAAATTGCCAGCACAAATTACCACCTATTATTACTCACCAAAATTTTTTTTGGTAAGTAATAATAGGTGGTAATATTTCAGGATAAATTTAGTTCTTATAACAAAAAGGGTGATACAAATATTATAAGTACAAACAAATCAGTACAAACAAATCAAACAAATCAATACAAATATATCAGTAAGCAAATCCAAGGATTCAGCTTACTGATTAAAATTCAATGTACATGTTAAGCTATTGAATAAAGCAAAAAATAATATGCAAAATATTTTTTTATTAAATATAAAACATATAACATTAAATACAAAAATATTTATAACATATAGTATAATTCATATATTATATAAATGCAAAAATTGTTATTCTAAAAATAAATTCACGTATCAATAAATCTTGAGAATTACATTCCATCAGACAAATCATAAGGAGAGATATCAACTATGATCTTATACATAGATTATCCGTATTCAATTATACAATAAAAAAATTATGAAAACGAAGTTAAAGTTATTAAGAGTGACGACTAGGCATTAAATATTTTGAAATGTAAGTTTAAAAAAAAAAAAACTAACTTACATAAAAATTTTAAGAGAAACTAACTCACATAAAGAAGCATATTACAAATTGTAAAATTTATGTTTAAAATGAAATGAATGAAGATAATATTGTTGAGAGTATCAAGAACAAAAATAACATTAGGGAAACTTATAGATATTAACCCCTTACCTTAAATGCTGGAGACAACTCTGGCCAAGATAACACAACCTATGATAACTGTTACTTGGCTTGGTTAAGTAAACAAAAACAGAGCTCAAACAAGATAGGAAGCGTTATTTGGAAATCGATCAAGTTGTTGAAAGGTAATTCTCAATAACTAATATACAGGGGGATTTAAATTGAAAGTCTCAGTATCAATGATATATTTTAACAGTTAAATTAGTTTTACAACAAATCATACATTAAATTGAAAATAAACTAACATAGTTCTTCATAACAATTTTTAAAATGTGCACCATTATTTATATGGCATATGTTTACTATGATATTGTATGATTTTTCCCATAGCTAAAAGTAATAGAATACCATCAGCAAATGCTGTTGCCACATAGAGGAACACAATCAAATTTTAAATAAAATGCATATTGAACTGAAATTAAAGATTCGCTCTTAGCAATTGGCACAACACAAAACTCTTTACGATCAGGGCATGCGATTTTCCATCAACAACAAAGCAATATTCAAGGATGCTCAGATCTAAAACTGCAGTGGAAAGAATTGGATTTGATTAACAAATGGCAAAAGTTTTTTTTTTGTGAAACTTTAAGCACTTTCAATCCTATTAATCTTTAAACTTGTTCATTAAGTTGAAATAAACTAATTTTAGGATGTAAAAAAAAAGGAAAAAAAAAACCGAACCAAACGTTGCAAGAAATGAGAATTGTTAAACACTGAAATTATAACACAATCACTCTTTTGATGTAAATTTGTGAAGTCTTACCGGATGATTTATCAATAGGATGATTTATTAGTTGCGAATTGTAAATAATTTTTGAAATTGAAATTGTACATTAAACAATTTTATTATTAAAATATAACATTAGAAGTTAAGCTTATCTTATGAAAAGTATGGATGAAAAATTACTATTAATTAAAAAAGAATATAGCTTTTTAACTCTTATAACCGATGAACAATAAATAAATACTTTCAATTAAACCTAGTTTGATTTAATTAAAGTTTCATTAATTTTATATTCAGGTTTAATCCAATTAAACTCAATTTTAATGGAAAATATAAAAAACCTGGACAAAAATTTAAAAATAAAAACGAGGAAACACTTATAAAGTCAGTAAAAATAATTTGATTTCCTTGATTAGCTATAAGATAGCAGTTAAGAAAAAAATGCTTTGTAATGTTTTGATTTGACTTTAACGATGAAAAACAGAGGAAAAATGGCACTGTAACTAGCTTTATCACCCATATTCTCTAAAAAAATATTAAAACAAATTAAATTTTTGAAAAGTGTAACACATTAAAAAGACTAACATTTATAAATTTTTCAAAACTTGAAACAAGGAACAATGTCATATGTTGTTGATTTTCCTTTTTATCTCATATGCAAAATCATAAATGCAGGATCTTCCAAGTAAGATTTCCATAGGTTTGAAAATCGGCACATGGTGGCACCATCAATCACCCTGTGGTCAGCAGTCCAACTGATAACCATAATATGACGCTTCACAACATTGTCTTGGTCATCATATCTAGGAAGACTCTACAACACAAAAATCTTCATTAAGAAACAATACAAATGAGAACAATGCGAAATTCCCTATAAAACTGTAAAGATGTAAACTTGGTGCAAAACATTGAAATCTTGAAGTATACATGAACTGAATAAGTCAAGGTTACTATTTATTTTGAGAAATGAAATTCCCAGATTTTCTAGTAAAATTTTTCCCAAAATTACAGACCATGATTACAGATTTTCAACAAAATGACTGACCAAGTTTCAGATTAAAATTCTTTTTAAAAAAATTAAATGTTAAAAAATGAAAAAAAGTGAAAATTTCTGCAGATTAAATTAAAATATACTTACTTGAACTTTACCAATTGCTCCAATAGCTACTTCAGGAAGAAATATCACAGGCTTGGTGTAAGTTCCTCCAATCTAAAAGTTCATTCAAACATACAATTAAAGATGCATTTATACCTATATAAACATAATAATGGTTTAGGAAGAGGTTCCAAAATTTTAAATAGCAATTCATGACGTTTTATTAAAAAATATAATTAAAAACATCTTAACTAATTAAAACAAGAATTTTTTATAATAAATACAATTAGAACTAAATTATAATCTATGAATCATATTTTTAATCCTTTGGTAACATTACAAAGTCTAAAGAAGTTTTCTAATTCTAATTAAGAAATTTTTTTTTTCAACTCAAAAATTCTTCCAAAGTTATGCCACAACTTTGGTTGTGACACATAGTATCTGATTGTGGCATATTATATGCCACATATACGCCCTTAATATGCAGGTTGTGACATATAATTCAAGAATCAATACAAGTATGAATACATTAATTCAGTAAAGATTAAAAGAATAACAACTTCAGACGCGAATTTCAAACAAATCATAGCAATTACAAGAGATCAAGAGTTAAAGTCAGCTTAAGCCAGATGTAAGATAATGAATATTAGAAAAATAAGGAAAAATATTCTTAAAATAAACTTACAGATCCAATATTGGACAGAGTGAAAGTTCCACCAGTTAAATCGCCTTGTCCAAGATTACCTCTGCTACCTAAATCACGAAGTCGGTTTAATTCAGAAGCTATTTGCAGAACATTCAACTGCTGAACATTTTTAATATTGGGAACAATCAATCCATGAATGGTATCCACTGCTACACCAATGTTATGAGATGCCTTATAGGGTTTAAAAAAAGAAACATTTAACTTTAAACACATAATTCATTCTCATGCATTGAATATAATGTTTGTCAAATGTAATAGTTTGCTTTAACGAAAATTATTTTCATGTAAAACATTATAAGATTGCTATTAAAATCAGATGGGGAAAAAAGAATTTCAATATCAAAACAATTATCTGATGTGCGATCATCTGATATGTAAACTTAGCTAAGACTCTTTTTGCTCAACAAACTGGTTTAGTATCAAGTTGTCCAAGTAGTACAGTAGTTAAAAAATAATTCAACCAATTAGTTCAGCAATGAAAGCATTACAATGCCTAAAGAAATTTTACAGTTATTGTTTTATTTGCGGAAGAAAAAAAATTTTATCGATAAAAATTATTTGTATTGAGGGTTAAATTTTTATATTCACTTGTTCAAATTGATTGATTAATAGGTCATCTTTCAAAAAATTATTCAAACTATTATTGCACAAAAAAGTGTATAATCTGTTATTTACAGTTTTTTTTTCAAATTAAATGAGAAAGAAAACAAATGAAAATCAAGGGGGAAGAACGTTTATGTCCATTTTGTTACAAAAATTTCAGTTGAATCGCCATCTGTTGGATTTTTAAGATTACTACGTTTTGATAAACCAATAACATGGAAAATCAGTTTCTACTTAGAAAGTTATCATGTAGTGAAAATATGCATTGTCTGAGCATGCACCCTTTATTTTTTATTCAGAATCAGCTTTCATGGACATAAACTGCTCTTAACCCTTGGTCTTGAAACATAAAAATTTTGCCATTTAAAACTAAGGTTTTAAAATAAAAGAAAGCTTTTTTTAATGTTTATTTTAACAAACATTATTAAATTAACCTTTAATCAAAATGGGTTTAGTAAAAAAATAAGACCTATCATCTGTACATGAGGAACATTTGTGAATAAAAATGAATTTTAAAAATAATTTAAATGAAATAAATATTAAACAAAGCATTCATTTAATCCAAAAATAAAGCATTTAAAAGAGCTTTTAATTCAATGAATATTTCAATCTGCATTCCAATACCTCTTTAATTTAGAAACTAAAAAGTAATAAGAAATGAATTAAGATTGCCATAATTGACTCCATAAAAGTAAAACATTGCTACATCAATTTAATACAAAATCCAACTTTCTAAAGCAAAACTAAATAAGATAAAAAATGTCAAATAGTTCATAATGAATGATTATCAACATAAGATAGAAAACTAACTAGACAAAAGAAACATTGATTTAAGATTGCATATTTTCAGATTTTGTTAAACCTCACAAAATATTTCAAAGGGTAAATGATGCAACATGTAAGTTTACCTTGTAAGTAATATTTTCACACTTTTCATCAACAGTTGCATTCAAAATTGGAAACTGAAGCAAGGATAAAGATAAAGCCTGGAAGAAAAATAAAAGGGATTGCAATGGATATTATGTCGACAAATTGCATCTGGTCAGTATATACAGCATAATTAGCAATAGCCAGATTATATAAATACTCCGCTGTTGATCTGTTCTGATATTATAAAATAAAATAAATATATAAAAAAATCATATTCTTAAATAAAAATCTGTTAAAAGTCAGTTTGAAGATGTAGCATTCTAACAAAATCTATGTCAAATCTGGGAAAGGGCTAAAGCAACATATGCCCAAAATTCATTTTCAAATATATTTATAAAAATATGATTAAACTATTTTAATTTTAAACCAATTTTTGATTTGCATTTTGTTCTTCAATGAGTTCATTGAGATTTCTACCTGTATACTTAATAGATTTTTGTATAATTGCTTTTCATTTGCTTTCATGTTTTCGTACACTTTACTTTTCAAGTTATTACTATTTCTTCTAAATTTTATGTGTTTTTTCCAAGTGGGAGTTTGGAAAATAAATAAAACTTTTGTTTTTTAAACAGTCATTCACAGAAAAGTTTGCACACAAATGCATGTAGAGTTCCCATAGAAAAAGTTTTATATAGCATTACGCTTTTTTTGTCCTAATTCAGTATTATTTCATATTTAAGTATAATTCTCTATTTTTTATAAATACAACAAAACATTCTAATATTAAAGCAAGAGTAAAAACAATTGATTTACTTTTACTCTTTTTCAAAAAATATTTCTAACATAAAAAAAAAATTAAGCATTTGTGACATTTTACAAAATTGGTAAATTCTAAATTATACAGAAAAAGCAGTAGAAAATGTAGCATTCTTTAAAAGAATTTGATAACATTTCTTATAAATTACTCTTACAAACAGTCTCTCAATGTCAATAGTCTCTACTATGGGCAAATAAAGAAATATATATTTTTAAAGCTTCTTTCATAAAAGCAAGGAAACAAGAACAGGAATCAATAAAAATAGGGTATAGGTAATTAAAAGGGCTATTTAGATGTAATTAATTTTAAAAAAAATATGTATAAACAAACATGCTAAAATGACGTGAACAATGATTTAAAAAAACAGCAACAAAATCATTTTTAAAATATTAATCAATAATAATTGCTATATTTTATACAGTGCGAAATTGAATGCAGTTTCCTTACTTTTACAAAGAAAGGCATAAAAGTAAACTTTAAGCCTCTTTCCTCCATCATTTTTTTAAAAAATGCCTTTAGTTCAAAAAATCTAGAGACATCTATTTCATCAGAATAACCAAAAGTTGGCACAGAGAGGCTCTTGGTCATAGTTTTCACCATAGCCTTTTTATACCCCTTAATCACTTCAGTTACATCTTTTCCAGCAGGTAAAGGGCTTTGCACAGGCATTTCTTCACGTTGCTCAACAAATGGCAGTGTCACTTTTGTAAGTTCTTTAACAATTTGTTCTGGAGAATGCTGCATAGAAATTTCATTGGATACTTGAGCTGCAAAAAAAGATTAACAATAAAAAAGACAAAGAAATATTGCATAAAATATTTTTTTGTCAGCTGTCTAACTCCAGGGAATTTTAACACTGATTAACAAATTGAACGCAGCACATATTTTAAAGGAAACTTCCACTAAGCCACATGCCCTGCTTAGAAGCATTCATAATTAAGTATAGGAATGTTTACATTAGAAATAGATGAAAATGAACAAAAATTTGATTTGTAATAAATAAAAATTAAGTAAATTTTAACTAAAATTTTAGTAATTTCTTAAAACAATGCAAATTTTTAATTTTGTATCGTATTTTACACTGTCAGTTAAATATTTTACTGTCATTAGTGTCCGACACGGCCAAAACAGGAAGTAGTTCAGTGTTAGTTACCATTGACAGATGTGGCACTCAACATGAAAATAATGATGCAATTTTTTACATAATTTTTTTACATTTATTTTATCCACAATGATGGCAAAAAGAAATGGCTGTGTAACATTAACATTCATAAACTTGATGTTGTTTTTTTCCTAAATTTTTAATAAGTTTGATTTTAAGGAAAAATAGTCAAAATACTTTTCTACTTTTTGCAATTTCTTTAATGAGCAATAAAGAGGAAAGTCAATAAGAGAACTGCAAAGAATACAAGGTGACAAGAAGCCGCTTATACACATACACACCATTTTAATGCTTACAATACCACAAACCAAAAGCTCAAATAAATATAAAAAGATTACTACCAGTACTACATTAACATATTTCGAAGTGATGCCCTTCAGTCTTAATACAGAGTTGCAAATGTGTCACAAACTCTTTTAGGAAATCATAAGTCCTATTAGGATCATTGTACCAAAAACACATCGAACATAAGAATACAGTTGGATTTAAAAGCGGTGTGCACAGGTGGCTATTCTTGTTATTTGTTGACGGCCTTTAGTTCTGGGTACTGGAAAAGCATAATGGATAGATAAAAAAAGCTTTACTATACATATTTGGATTCTTGCTTTGTAAATCGATACTCATAAAATTTTTTAAAAGTAAGGAGCTTAGTAATTACTAATAAAATGATTCTTTTTTTCATCCCTTACCAATAGTTTCTTTGCTCTTAAGAAGTTCAAGGTGAGCAAATATATCTTCTCTCATTATCCTGCCATCTTTTCCTGTTCCTTTAACATCACTAAGCTTCACCTAAACACATGAAAAGCAGCATACAATTTGCAGAAAAATATTGTGATGTCATGACAAACATTAAAATTAATTGAAATAGAAGCAAGTCATAAAGTCTAAATTACAATCCATAACAACTTAAAAAAATAAAATGAATATTAAGTTCTGAATATCATTTCAGAATTAAAATTAAATGTAAAGTTTCTACATTTAAATGTAAAGTAATAATATCTTAAAAATGAGCCTTTTCTTTCATAAAATAAATGTAAACATTACAGTAACTAAAAATGAAAAATCTGGATAATGTAAAATTTTCATGAGAATGACCCTTATGCATTTATACACAATTATTGGTGGCTTGTCATTGTATTAAGTGATGTCTTGCAACAGTCTTTTAAAATATTTTTCTAAAACCACAAATTTAATTTATAAAATAATAATTACAAATTTTTATTTAAGTTTATTAGAACAATAATTCAAAATCTAATTCAGAAACAAAATAGTAAACATTTTTAAAAAGCAATAGTTTTTAAAAATTGAATTCACATATAAATTTATATATTACCAAAGTATGTGAATGTTAGAGAATTCAACTACAATAAGAGTAGACAAGATCTTTCAAAGACAAAACCTTGAAATTTGGGGCTTTGCGATTTATGGAATTTTGTGTTACATACATCATTTTACTTATCTTTAAACTTACCTACTAAATATGGCAATGTTTGTTTGGAACAGATCAATTATAAAATGCTTTAAAATAAAATTTAAATTAAAAAAAAATTATTATTTACAGAAAAAAGTTTAAATTTACTGCATTATTAGAATGACGACAAACAAATTATAATAAATTTTGGTTCGCCTAGCTTTCGAAATTTTAACCTCATAGCAAATAAATAACAAATGTAAAAAGTTTATAGCTCTTGCTTAGTTATAGAAATTTCTTAACTGCAAACATCATTGTTTACACCCTCACAGCTAGTGTGGTAGGAGAATTGCGTTATATAGATTTTCCACTGCATCTATAATCACTTCCGCAAGATTTTTGTAAATACACAATGCCTTTGCAGCTTTCTCGCGAATTTTACTATGCATTTTTTCTTGATAAAAATATATTTGCAAATCAGTCTTTCTTTTTTTGGTGTTCCTCACATAATAGTATTTTGATATAATAATATTTTGTTTTGGTTATATTTATGCAATATTAGGAAGTATTATTTTTTGCACTTATAATTATGTGGGCTGACTACAAGATATCATTTCATAGTTAAAATTTTTCTAATTATTATTTATTTCATTAATTTTTTAATTTTCACTTTTTTAAAATTTTTTTACATCTAATAATTTTTCTTTTTTTAATTAAAAATCCTTTTTTTCTTATTTTTTTTTTGGCTTCTTTTATTGTTTTCTTTATGTTTTCATCATATTTTATGAATTCTATGTACTTGCAGATCATTTGCAGTTAATAAATCTTAAATTTTTAAACTTCCTTTTAAATTCTTTTCTTTTGTTGTTTATTGCTTCGTATATATATATATGTATGTATGTATATATAGGACTGATANATATATATATATTAGTTATGAAAAGAAAAACATTAAAAACTAGTTAATTTTGTGATAAAGCAGTTTTCCTGCAAAGCAAAATATAGAAAAATTTTGTTCTAATATTTTCCATTCAAGCAACAAGATGACTAATTGAGGAAAGGGAAATTACATTATTTTCCATTGCTATACGTCTTACAGCAGGGGCAGCAAGAACTTTGGCAGATTTCCTAGAAAAGTCAATTTCTAAGCCTGATGGTGCAGCAAGTTGATCTTGAACTTGATCAATCTGCTCCTCAGAGTCATCTAGACACATAAAAAAAAAAAATAATATTAAAAAAATAAAAAAAAAATTTGCAACCCCCTTCTATTTAAATAATTATGAATGAAACAATTGATATACTAAATATATCTAATAATAAAACTTGTAAACATAATGGAATATAATAATTTTAGTTAAATAAAAATTTTGAAACTTGACAATTTAATTCTTGAATTAATACTGAAAGTTAGAGTTGAACAATTTTATTTAGATAGCAATCACAAACATCATAAAATGTCATGTTGATGGAAAATGAAAGAAATCTACTGTTGTAATAACATATATTGCAGGCTTCAAAGTGGTTCAAATTAAAAGACAGGACAAAATTTCACAAAACCTCAGGACGTTCTTGGTGTAATGCACTGTAGACTATTTTTAAGAAGTTGAAACAAACGGCTATAAAAAATAGTGCAATCCACATTTCTAAATATTTCATTTCGTGATAGCAAGCCACAGATTCTGTAAAATACCATGTTGATGGAAAAAGAAAGTAATATACTGTTGTAATAATCTAGATGGCAGGCTTCATAATAAAATTAAGAAAAACATTTTACAAAAAAATCAAGATGTTTTTTGGTGCAATACACACTAGACAATTTTTAAGAAGTTGAAACAAAGGGGCAAAAAATGGTATAATCCACTGCTCTGAAAATTTTGCTTTGTGAGGCATATTTTTTTAGCTCTCCACAACATTAAAAAAAAAAAAATACAATAACTCATCTCATTAAAATATAAAACAAACATGGAAAAAAGTTGATCAGAAATTATATAAAGTGGTGCAATCTCCCACATACATATGTGGAGAATAATCAGAACCTAATTTTCTTGACATTGGAAATAGATCCCTCAATATAAAAAGAGATCAAAATAACCATAAACTGATATTTAGAGTTATTTTCATGCAACAATATATTACTTCAAAACTATATCATATAAAATCTACATACTAAAGAATAAATGTATACAAATTAAAGAAAACATAATGTGTGGTTATCTGGTTACAAAGATCATCAAAATAAAATGAGCCACAATAGGATATTTACAGTTTTTAGCTTTTTTTTTTATTAGGCATATTTTGAATTTCAACAAGTGGAGAGTTAGATATTTTTATGAAGAAAAAAAAATCTAATGGGGATGAAAGGTTTTATTTCTTTAAAAAGTTAATTCTTCTTCAAGAGTTTGAGATACCTATTGTTCATGACCTGAAGGACAAGCGTCTGTTACTGACTTACGATGAAAAGAGGTATTCACTGAGAAAAATATTCCGTAAAAAGGGTGGGGTTAATAAAGATAATTTTTGTTCCAATATTGATTCAGAAATAATTCATTCTTTAAAAGAAAAATGGAAGATAAAGACAGGGATTTTGTTGCTCACAGTAACTCCTTTTCATTTGAAATATGTTTCAGGTTTCATTATTTGAATAAAAACGTTAGTTTTGACATTATGTCTAATTTTTCTGATTTCTTTTGAATGAAATATTTTTCAAAAATCTGAATTATCCTTTAAAAATAGCACATTTGTCAAAGTGGTATGTTCAGAAAAAATAAATAACTAAAGTATCAGAACTAAATGTTAAAAATTAGGACAAATAAAAACAGAATATTTTGAAACAGGAAAATCAGGACATAGAAACCTTTTATGACGTGCAATTCTTTTTAACAGTAAAATTTAAGATAAGAATTTTAAAAGTCAAATATTAGTTTCTTAATTATTAGCAATAATGCAAATTAGCTTCTTAATAATTAGCAATAATGCAAATAGTTAGTTAATATTTAATAAGACAAATAAATTAGCATCAACTACATAGGATCATTTTTCAAGTTTACATTAACAGTAAAAAAAAAATTGGGGAATAAATTTACTTGGGCATTAGAAGAAGAAAAGTAGCAAAACCAAATTAAATACTTTATTATTTAAAGGTAACTTTTTCCTAGAAAAAGTACATTTTGCTGAGAATCAAATGTATAAAAATTTCAATTCATCTTATTTATTTTCAATATAAAAACAATTACATAAATCAAAATACAGTTACCAGATTCAAACAGTTCAATCTCTACTAAAGGTGAGCCAACTGTAGCAGTACTGTCTATTTCATAGTGCAATTTTCTAATATATCCATCAAACCGACTAGTAATAGTTACTGAAGCCTTATCACTTTGCACTTCACAAATGCTATCAAACTGATTAACTTTGTCTCCTTCTTTGACATACCTATGTAACATATTAAAAATAGCTCAATTTTTAAATGAATTTTGTTTGAAAATCTAGAAATATCATATTAAACAAGTAGCTAATAAAAATAATGATGGTATTTATCTGTTATAGAGACCATATAGCCAAGACTGCCATAAATATACTTGTATAGTATATAGTTACATGTACATGCGTGTGTAATGATTTCTTTGGCAATAACTTGGAAAAGCATGATCCCAATAACTGAGAAGTACTTTAATGACTATAATATATAAAATAATCTCATTCCTATTTCCCAGGTAAAAAATTAATAAATATATGCATAAAAAATAAGAATTATAGATTAACTAACAACAAATTATAAATATGATTATCAAAGTATTTTTAAAGCAATGCTAACACAGATAAAATAAAGAAGATCAGTTTTAATGAACTTTATGGTAATAAGAATATCACAAATTGCTCAATTTTTATGAAATTAAATTTTCTAGTGAAACTTTCCAAGATACTCCCTTTTAAACTTTAAAAACTTTTAAATTATTTTTTTACTCCCAAGTACAACAGTCAACATGTTAAACCGTCACCTCCCTAACAATTTAATTCCAAAGTAGTCAGTCTTGTCCCTTAATTTTCTAATTTCTAGGCAGCATTTTAGCAAATTATTTAAAAAGACAAGAAGTATTTATTCAATGTTTTCTGAACTAGTAATCTCACTTACATGCTATAGTGTGTCAAATGTTCTGAATATTATTTGGTGCATTCTTGAAAACATATTTTGGTTATAATTCATTGTTGAATTATTATCACTGAATCAATTACTAATCACAAATTTTTTATATATGTATATCTTTACAGTGGAGATTTGTATTACTTTTACTTTAAATAGGGACGAACTTTTAGTAAAACGAATCAGAAGTAATTGCACCTAAAAACATGTCGTTTTCAAAGTTTAGCAAAATCTTTGCTGCACCATATGCTTTCCCACAGTTTTTTCTGAAAATGAGGTAACATGTTTTGAAAACAATACAGCTGATGTAGCATAAAAATAACATAGTTTTAAATAAATAAAAAAGTTTGATTTGATAATATCTTTGTAAGAAATACTTGTATATATGTATAGATATAGATAAATAATGAAGCCAATTCAAGCAAAAAGGAACAAGCAATTAGTCAGTTTTTGAATCAATGCCCTAGATTAGAAAGTAGTTATAATACATATTCTTTACATGTTTCATACTGTAAGATGAAGTTTATTATAAAAAGATAAAATGTACCATTCTTTGAGGGTAACTTCCCGTATTCCTTCTCCAATATCAGATAAATTAAAGCTAACAAGTTTTCCAAAACAAACTGTAATAAAAAAAGTTAGATGAAACATAATTTATATATTTCAAAAGTGATTAAAAATGTGTGAAATTTTATAAATATATTCATCATTTGTGTAGTTTATCACAACTACATATGCATGAAATATTTCTGAATTAAGTAACTTTTATTATTTTAATCTTTGGATGGTCTTCAAAAGAATTTAATGAATTAAGAAATAAAAATTTAATTTTGATTTGTATGATAATTATTGCTTATAAGAATGAAAATAATTCACATCAAGCTAAATAATTAAAAGAGAAATTTGGGTATTTGGAGACTATAATTATTATCACTGTTATGACAGCCTCGGTTGGGCCGTGGCTTTCTCTAGAACATTTTTTCAGGTCATTCTTCTTGCTGCCAAATCTTACTAGTTCTATATCCTGGTTGCCAAAATCTGCATCAAAGTTTAATTTCCAATTAGTTTGAGTTAGATTATTTTATGTGTTGGGCCTATTGTATTGAAAAGGCAATTATGATCTGAAAATATCATTCTGTTTAACTTAAAATTTATAATATCAATGTATTCATAAATTTCAGTATTTGTTTGTAAATTTTGGTATTTTTTTTTTCTGTTGAAGTTGCCTCAGAAAAAAAATAGTTTGTAACGGCAGGGGACTGTCTAGGTTTTTCTGGTAGGTACCTATTTTGTGAAAATTTAGTCATAATTTGTCAAAAATAAAAATTTCATAAAAAAAATCAACACAAAAATATGGTAAAAATAGAAATTTATCGTTTCTTACGGGATACAAAAATAAAATTTTAAGATAAAGTATTTTGTGAAACTACCGTTTTTTCTAAAGTTGAATTTGTGAAGGTACTGCTTAACGGTAGTAAATTTGGCCTGAGCAGACCCCTCAAAAGAGACTAGAATCTTTACATAAAAAACTAACGAAGTATGATACATAATTTGTAAGTTCAAAACAAAACTATCACAGATTTTATGTTTGTTTGGAGGTCAAACACACAACTTTTTTAGCTACTAAATCAAGATTCCCAAAATAAAATTTAGAAAAATAAGTTATTCTGCCAGTCCTTAATAAAAGTTATGAAGAAAATTGTTGTTCCTCAAAGTTTAAAAATTGTGTATATCTGCTAGTTTTCCTAGGGAAATTTTTTTAGTTTGCTTAAAAAGTAGAGTATTTTCAGAATCAATGTCATTATAAATTTTAGAATTTCAAATAAAAATAAATAAATATGATATACATTAAAACTATTAATGAGAGAAAAGTTATTTTTGACAACAACAGTTCAAGGATTGCTAATTTTAAAAACTAAGCATATCTTTTATAAAATGTGATGTAAAGGTTGCAGTATAAAAAAAAATGGAAGAAAATTAGTTTAAAAAAAATTTCCTACGTTTGTAAATACATCCAGTTTGCATTAAGCACTTAATTGATAGGTGATTAAGAGACCGACCAGATAGCCCAAAGTAGTGCACTACATATAGTGAAACTACTGTAGTCACTACTTTTTTTTCATAGTTAGCAATGTAGTGTATGGCTAGTAGTTTTGAATTGAATAATCTCTTAATCTCACTCTTAATAATTCAGTATTACATGTTATTAATTATTATTTCAAATAACACATTTTTTTTACAAGCTTGTAATTTATAAACAGCCGCTTCACAACCTCAGACATAGATGATTAAACTAATATTTATTGCTTTTTCTTTTAATAGAAAAATAATTTTAAAAAAACTTGGTAGAAAAGTTTGTTATTTGAAAAAAATATATATAATAATAATAATTTGCAACAATCATAAAAGAACATTTCATTAATCAGAATCACAATCATTAATCAGAACATTTTTAATTATGTTCTATGAAATAATTTGAAATCTAGTTGTAACCAGTTTAACATCTAAAAGACTAAAATCTGAAACCTTGATACTATAAAATAAAATCAATGCAATATAATGCATTCACTATTCGCTATATTCACCTCAAGTTTTATAAATGAGATAAGTGTAATTACCATAATATTTGATATTTTTATAAAATTGAACTCTGTGTAGGCTAATGACTTTTCACTGACAAAAAAATGTCTTGCATTTTTGTTATGATTTTTAGCAGTTTACAGTAATACTCACTTTTTGATGTAAAATAGTTGCGGTATTCAATTGCTCTCAAATGCTGACAGGTGCTTTGGCAGACTACTTTTTTTAATCTTCTTGAGTGAGAATAAACCTGTTAGGAAAGGGAAAAAAAAGAATTACTCAGTCCATTTAGAGAACTTTTAAATAACATCATATTCTCAATTGTTGACCAAATGAAATAAGGCCAAATTATTGCTCTAATAAATTTTTTTCTGTCATCATATCGCAAAGCTAGAGGTTTAGAAATAGTAGAGATCTAATTACAATGTAAAAAATGGCAATAGGTTTTCTTCAATATACTAATTCTGAATCTTCTTTTTCCATCAAGAGATTATTTATAATTTAATTCCATATTTGAATTATAGACTATTAAAGGTGACTTTCATAATACTTTGACAATCAAAAATGTGTTTGAATCAATAAATAATGATTTTAGACATTGATTTCGAAGAAAACCAATTAATTCATGGTGTATTTTGTATAGTATAAAAATGCAAAATTTAAAATAAAATTTTGCATAAATTTGAGGAAAATTAGAATAAAAGTTATAAGAAGCATAAAACTTACTGCGGAATTTCTTACAGCAAGAGGAATAAAATTTGCAAGCCTTCTGTAAGCTATCATGGTTATATGAAAAAAATTGTGATATACTTTCCCTTGTTTAATTATAACTAAATCTAATGAATGATCTTTACTGATTGATTGTTTTGTTTACTTACAAGATTTAACCACAGTCACAGTGAAACTGTTACACCCAGCCTTCAGGTGTTAAAACAATCACCTAAAGCAAGCATAAATTTCATTTTTTTCACCATCATACTTTTTAAAAATACATTACTTCAATCAAAAGTTATTTAAATATTTTAATAATTTTTATTTTACAACATATATTAACGGTAACTGCACATATGTGAATTGTTTTTGTTTAGCTTGGTGAAAACGGTCAGTGGACCGCTAACTCAAATATTTAATTATATTTTTTAAATAATTACTCAAACGTGTGAAATAACAAGATTCGAGTCAAATTTAAACATTTATTGGTAGTTAAATTCAATAACTTTTCAATTACTGTTGTACTGAAGAAAAAAATGCTCAATAGAACATTTTTTTCTTAATGTTGATTTCTAATGTTCAATTGAATATTGTTAGTATGTCAGGATTAAAATATGTATAAATATTTTTCTGTATGTAATAATATTCCTTATCAGTTTACAGTTTTTAAATCACTTTTTTGATAAAAACACAATATAAATAAAAGTTATCATACTGTTCATTATAATTATTTCCTTACCTTTCTCTTTATACTTAATCTTGATTCTCATATCTGAGGTTCAATTAAGTTGAACACTGAGCCTGAATGCAGTCCCGATACTCCATTTGCTTGAAAACCCATTCTGTATTTAGTTATTACTTTATGAATATTAACCCTTTCTGTGTTTTCAAACAAGAAAGTTTTCATCTGCACTATAACTAAGGCCTGTATTTGGTCTCAGTTTCCTTCATACTTTTATAGTCTCAAAACATAGTAAAACCTAAGAATAATTCAAAGCTTTGGGGTTATTTCCTTGTCAATGGCTGTTCTCATCAAATTTTTTGTGCTTACAAAAGTTTTTAAGAGAAAAAGGTGTGATAATTCTTCTAAAACTCCTTCTCCCTTTAATTATTTAATTTAGAAAATGCATTAGAAAGAACACAACTATATCTATCCATTAACCTTGAGTTGAACAAGGTGTACCTAAATATTTATGTTCCTTAAATAAATAATTTTTATGATTAAATATTTATTTTGTAATAGATTTAAGATTTTTTTCCTTTCTAAACACTATAAATTAACTCAGGAATGATTTCAGTTCACTTTATAAGTTATAGTATGCAGAGATTGCTCACATAGAATTCATTAAGCAGAATGTAAAAATGTAATTTGTTTTTTAATTTTTTTTCTTTCTCTTCAAATTACAATTATTTAGAATTTATCTTTTAAACTTTTTATAAAAGTTGATTAAAAGCTAAATAAAATTGTTTTAAGTCTGATCAAAAGCAAACCAAATGTACCTATACACTTTTTAAAAAAAAATCAATATACTGCTCTAACTCTCAGGATTGGCAAAATTTGTGATTTTTTTTTAATAAAAAAAATTGGATTTATTTGATGTAAGCCTGATATTTTTTATATAAATTAGATTTTAATTTGTTCATATGTCCCAACCAAATCATCTGGTAAAATGTAGGAATACTTAATATTATTAACAAAATTAAACATCTGACTCATTAAATTTTAAAAAAAATTCTTTCTTTCAAAAAATTACAATGTATGGCTAATATCTAGTCTTAAATTTTACTGAAACTGTTTGGTTAAATATGGACAATTCAGTATTTTCAAATAAAGTCATCAACATCACATATTTACTGTAATTATAATGAATTTCAACTCTCTTGCTTTTTCTCACTGAACTGTAATTCATCTTGCATGGTATTTTTTGTCATAAGTTAATAAGATAATTTATTTTTAAATTAGGTGTTTACTGTTTAATTTTCTTTCCTATCATTTTTTTCAATGCGCTTTCTATGTATTCATAATAATTATTCAATGCAAAATTTTTAAAAGAATAAATTCCTTAGATTAAAGTAAAATGTAATGCAATGTTAAGCGTCTAAAACAGTAGCTAAATTAAATATTAACTAACAATAGCTCAGTATGGCTAGATATTTTAGTTTTCCTCTTTTCTGTGAGAATGAATTGTGTTTATTGTATGTTTGCAGCTGAATAAGTATAGTTCAGTTTTTAGCTCAACTCTTTTTTTTTTTAAATTTTCATTTACAATCTTTATTAATTGATTACTTATTGTGCATGTATTTTTTCTTATCTAGGAAACAAACATATAGCAACACATTTATGAAATGGCATCCACACCATCTAACAGCCCTGCAATAAAGAATGCCTCTAAAGATGATTCTGGAACTTCCAAAGAAGAACAAAGTGGCTCAGTTTCAAATTCCCATAAAATAACTACATTTTTCCCAGTGCTTAGGGGTGAAGGTCGGGCTAAAATGTGCGCTTCAAAACCTGGAGATGGTAAACAGAAAGAAATTTTGCAAAAACTAAAAAGTAAAGAGGGTGTATCTTTAAGAGGCAAGAGTCAAGAGCTCAAATCAACTGCAGAACAAAGTCAAAAATCGGAACTAATTTCACAAGCCAAGGAAAAGTTGCAGGGAAATATCATGTCAGCTCTTAAAACTCCTCTGGGTCAAGTTTTAAGAAAAAATATTAAATCAAATGAAGCTAAAAAAGATCAAGTTACTGAAGATGGTAAGACTTCAAATAAATCTGAGTCAGAAAAAAATATTACAAAAAAGGATGCTGTGAGTGAAAATCCTGCTGAGAGACTAAGATCAAATCAAAGGGCTAAAAAGAGTTTTGCAGAAAGTGAATCATCAAGGCCATTGAGAAGGTTACAGAAACAACCTACTCACGCAGCCAAGTCTGCTCCATCTAGTCTAAGATCTGGTTTAAGAAAAACTTCTGATAATAATCAAAGTGCTGCTTTGAGTGATAAGCGTAAAGATGTCAGTGAAGCTAATGAAGTTTCTTCCAATAAAAGTCTCCAATCCGTCTCCAGACAACTGACTTTTTCTAATACTACTTCAATAGTTTCTTCATCTCCAGTTGATGATGCAGATAATAGTAATTTAAATCAAAGTAACAATTCTAGTGGCAAATTAAAGAAAAAGAAGAAAAGGTTTTTTCGTGGAGGCACTTATGGTTTATATTTGTCAAAGAAGAAACGAAAAATAATTAAATCTAATGATGAATCCAAAGATGATAACTGCAGTCTTGCTGGCACTGAAAATAGTAGTTATCTTGATTCTGATGAAGGCAATAGCATGATGAGTGAAGATCTGTATAGTGCTTCAGAAAAATCTCTCGCTGATGATGACCATAATGTCGATTCAAGAAATTCACCTGTTCCAGTTTCTGTAGAAACCATAGAATCAAAACAAGATGTTACTAGCACAGATGCTGACAAAAAACTCAACGAGGTAAAAGAGCAAGAAGAGAATACAAGCAGGAGTAAAAATGCTGATGAAAATGTTTCTCAGCCAGCTGAAACTGTTGCAAAACAAGAAGAAAATATTGATCAGCAAGATGAAAACACTATACAGCAACGTGTAGACAATATACAGCAAGATGAAGATAATGTTGAGCAAGATGAAGACAATGTGCAGCAAGATGAAAATACTGAACAAAGCTGCGAACTTGATGAAAATAAGCCTGAATCTGCAATTGTAAGTGAGTGTAGTGAGTCAATCCAAAATGTTGCTGATGTCCTTGAAAGTTTAGATCAAATGCAGTGGGATGATTCAAATAATGCTAACTCTGAAAAACAGTTCTTATCTGAAACTCCTAAAACAATGCAATATGACGATATAAGCAATGAAAGTTTTTCAAATTCTGTTTTTCCTAGTAAAGAATCTCCAGGAGAGAATTCAAGTGAGAAGACCAAAGTGCTATCTCCTGTATCTGTTAAAGAAGAACAAACTACAGATGAATTAAATGATTCTGAAAAAATGGATTCTTCTTCTAGTATGGGTAAAATAAATGATAGTTCCAAAGACATTGCTGAAAATATGGACATAGATCAAGATGATCAATCTGATCAAGATGAAAAAATGACTGATGGTTTCAAAAGTGGTGATGAGCAGGACAGTGCTGTCAAAAGTGGGGATGAACAGGACAGTAATAACAAAAGTGGTGATGAACAAGACAATAACTTCAAAAGTGGTGATGAACAGGACAATGCTTTGAAAAGTGGTGATGAACAAGATAGTGAAGGAGTATTTTCCCCCAGTGAAAGTCCAGAAAAAGGTACAATATTATTTTTATGTATTATTTAAAATTATTCATAGTTTGTTTTATATCTTATTATTAAAAAATTATTTAGCTAAATTAATTTTTTCTAAAATATATTTTAGTTTGGATGTTGCTTCAAGCTAAACTAGCTACTTGTTTTTGATAGTATAGACCTGCTAATGACTTGTATTCTATAAAATTATAGATTCTGATGCTCAATCCACCATTGCAACTTGTGTGAAATCCAGGCAACGTATAAAACGACGTTTCACAGATGATATTGTGGACACAGAAGTTGGCTTACTTTCTTTAAATCCTATGCCTGCTCCTCGTAAGGTTCCTGTTCCAAAGCCAGATCCACCTAAAGGTAAAATACGATACTTTTATAATCTTGCTTTTTTATATTGCTTTTGTCAGAGAAAGAATTCCAAAGAGGATTTTTATTTCAGATGTTATTGAGACATTTCAACCGATTACTCACAGTGAAGCAAAGAAAGGCCCCATTACAAAAATTGATATAATTGTAAGTATTAATTAAATAGTAATAAAAATTGAGAAACTTTTTTTCATACTCAAAAACACAAAAAAGTTTTTAATGCAACTCAACATATTTGAAAAATTAGACCAAAGCTAATTTTATTTTATTTATAAAAAATTTGGGCTTATTATATATAAAGAACAATGATTTATTTTATGTAGGGTCTTATAATATTTCTAGTTTTACTAAATGAAGTATAATTGTAAACAGTTATTGATTAAGCATTAGTTATATTTCAGATAATAAAAATTAACAAACTGGTTATTTAAATCAGGGATTCTAAAATTTTGTATCATTTACTTCATATTGCTATGTGTTTTAGAAACTATAAACCTAACTAATTCCTTGGTTTTATTTTATATACTTGTTTCATTTTATAGAAAGTATTAAATATTCTTACTGTTATGTTTGTGTATATTTTACAATAATTTTATAGTTCATTTGTAATTCAAAATATCTTATTTTTAGTTTAAAAAAAATGAAAGACTAGGATTTATTGAAAAAATATCCTTCCTCCTCCACATTCATATAAAGGCTTTTTTTTCCTTCTACTTTTTCAATATAAAAGTTATTTTAGTTACGAAGACATAAGACTGATTTAATTATTATCTTTCATTTTGCATCAGTAATGATGAAATAATCAACACTAAAAATAACAATATCAAAAATATTTATTCTTTTTGTTATCAAACTCAGGTTCCCCTACGATAACAGAAGTAAATAGTAATGTATAATTTGCGTTAAACGTAATATTTTGACCTAGATTTCACCTTTAAAGATATTTCGCATTACGCATATCCTTGTTATAAGTGCTTAAAAGCAATGTATCTGTATATAATTTGATAAGGAATCAAAAATTAGTTCATATTAATAAGATTTGATTGTATATAATTTTATCTCACAGCATACTCAATGTATCGTAACATATTTCTGCAACAATAATAGAATAATAAACTATGCTTAATTTAGTGAGTGTTTTTGTACTAAATTTTATTGTTTTTTTTTTCCTTGTTTAGTTTAATAGTCGTCAGTCTCCAGTAATGAATTGTACTTGTGAAGGTGATACATATGAGGCAAATTTAGGAAGTGAGGAAGAAGGAGTATTTTGCCAAGCTGTTGATTCTATTGATGATAAGGTAAGTTCTAAACTCTGACTCATAAAATAATAATTTAAAATAATTGTCAAAACCTGCAACTATTTAACAGATAATTTCTTGCTTATGTGTTATTCTTTGTTATGTTTGAGGCAATTTGATTAAAGAAAAGTGATAATGTTAGGTGTAATGTCTAATTTATGTAATATTTCCGATAAATTCCGTGTAGAAAAAGTTTGTGATATGACTCTTAGCATTATTTCAAAAATATTACTCATAAAAATGATATTTAAATAATGTTATTACTCTTAATATTATAGTTTGAAAGTAATCTGATAGCACTATTTTAAAGTTTGGTTATTGTTAGGTTTGCACAAGGGATAGTCTTGTGTAAAATGTGTTTAATTTTTTGTAAAATAATAATAACTTTTTTAAATGTGTAGTTTTTTTTATTTTAGCTGGTTGGATGCTCTAATCCTGTAGTGACTAATAAACTTGTTCGAACTTCAGTGAAAATACCTTTCACTATTATGTGTGAAATGCATTTATGGAGGCTTAAACATCACCATTCTTGTCCTTATTGTGGTCTTTTTTGCTCACAGGTCTGTGTTTCTTATTAATTTGTTTTGTTTCTACCTCAATCGCATGAGTTCATTAATATGTCTTTTATTCCCCAATAGGGCTCTTTTATCCAATGTGTGACTTTTAAAAATAAACGTAGAGTTGTTCACCTGTATCATGAGCAGTGTCAGTCCAAAGAAGAAGGCATTGGGACATTTTGTTTGCATTGTGGTGCAACTTCAGGTTTAAAGCATGTCACTTTAGAAATGCATATGGCTAGTCCACCTTCATTTTTCTTAAGTCAGCTAACTAATCAACCATTGTAAGTATCAATCTGTATAAATAAAAATTAAAAAAAATTAAAAGTACAGATTAATTTGTTGAGAATAATCTTTGCAAATGGCTTCCACAACAATTCCATTTTCTTTAAATTTGTACTTGATCATTTTCAACCTTATTAAAGAAAATTCTTCTACGATATGGGTAAATTGAAATCAATATTAATTACTCAATAGAGGACCTTTTAATGTTAAAATTCATAAATATGAATACTTATAGCTGAATCACACAGCAGCATGTTATGTATAAAATGTATTATTATTATGTGGTTTTATATTATAAGTAATTTAAAAAATATTTTCTCAAAGTTTTCTATGTAAATTATTTGATTTATTTCAATATTTTTGTGCTATTTAATATAAGCATATTTATTAAGCATATAATTATATAAGCATATATTTATGCATTATTATTAAGCATCTATTTATATAAGCATATTTATTAAGTATTTGTATTACAAATGATTTTGATTCTTTGTAATTGCTTATACTTATGCAACCTTTCTTCATTACTTATATACCACATTTTTGCAATTTCAGACCCCATGTTGAGAAAGCAAGAATATCAATTTCTAATGCTGTAGAGCGTATGAAAGATGACGAAGTTGTTGATTTTTCTTACAGAATAGAAGACACAGGAAAAGTATTGTCATCTGGTGAGTTTGGAAATTAATTCTTTTCATTCATATAAACTGCAATAAAACTTCTTAAATTTTTATAATTTTATTTTTTGAGAATTCAATATAATTTCCAATCTCTAACATTTTTTAGTATTTTTTACCTTTTACTTTACTTAAAGTTAAAAGTGGTTATCTTTGCAAACAGTATGTGTGCATTTAGTTTATGATTCAATAGTTTTTCTTCTATCTAAAATTGGGGTTCAAAATTAATCTCTTTTGCTTTTAAAATATGATGAACGTGAGACAGTATTTTTTGTTATTTTGTTTCAATTTGAAAAATAAATTTTTTATTTTATTTTAGTTGGCTTGAAAAATGGACCAGAAAAAGATGAATTGGATAAATTACTTCAAATGATGAATGAAAATCGTGACATTCCAAACTATCATACTCATGAAGAATTTTATACTGCTTCAGCTGAAGGCGACTTATTAAAAGTTTTGAACATATTAGGTATTAAACTTAAAAGATAGCATTCATTATTATGTAAAAACAGTATTATTATATTTTGCTCGAAGAGGGAAAGCAGAAGAACATGATATACCTGAAAGTCAAACATTATGAAAAATAAATGTTTGTAATTTCCAATTGAAGGGCTCACAAAAATTGTAATGTTGAACCACATTTTCATACTGTTTAAAAAAATATTTTTCAAAAATTTTGTTTGTTTGTGGAAAACATGATTTTTATGTTGGTAACACGATGTTTTTGTGTATTATGCTATTAGCAAGTGAATAATTAAGATTTTATTTTTTGTAAAGTATTAATTATATTTACCTTGAAATATTAATAAGGGTACAAAGTACAAATGCACCTATGTTGTTATTCAAAAATAAGTTTTCACTTTGTTGAAAGAGCAATTTTAAAAAGTAATAATACAATGGAAACTTATGTAATACAATGTACAATAATAATGCAATGTTTTGTTTCATAAATTTGCTTTGTGAAAATTAAACAGCATGAGAGAAAAGAAGGGAAATCTTTTTCATTTGCTTAAAAAAATGAGATATAATAATTTTCATTTTATAGTTTTCATTTCAATTTAATGGTAGTATTTTAATCTTAATGTATTTAATTTAGAACTACTTTACATTTTGTTTTAATATCGAATAATTAATATAATGGCAGAAATTAATCCATTTAATTTATGTTGACCTTTAAAAACAACACTATGTTGGGCAAAATATTTCTGAAATTTATTATGTGTACGTATTTAACAACTGTTTTCTCATGGGAAATTTCATTAGTTGACATATAAAAACAACACTAAAAAAAACTGTAAAATTTTCTAATGTAATACTCTCTCTCTATATATATTTTAATTCCTTACAGCCAGAGGAATTGATCCAAACTTAAAATTTTCTGATCATGAGGATGATACTGCTTTACATGCTGCAGCTGCTAATGGTCAAACTACTGTAGTTCATTTACTTATACAGGTAAAAAACTTATAGATGATTGTGAAAATATATTTGTGATTTTTGCTACAGCTGTTTCATCTTTTTTTCTCTCTCTCTCTCTTTTGCGTGTGTGTGAACACATTTTTTGCTAAAATTAAATTTTGTATAAAATTAATAAAAGGAAATTCGTCTAAAGCTGTACAGTGGGGCCAAGATTTAACTAACCCCTTTATAATGAATTTCTTAATTTAATTTTTTTTTCTATTTTCTCAATTGAAATTGAGACAAAATAACCTAATAAACCCTAATTTATAGCATATTTCAATAGCTGGAAAAAGTTCATTCTTGTAAATTTCTGTTAAAGAAATGTTGCTTTTCTTTTCAAGTGTACTACAGTATCTATTTTGTCTGGAATTGAAAAAGAATTTTCTTTCGTGTAGCAAGGAGATTTTCGAAAGTTACTCAGTACAGTACATACTTAAAATTCCAAATTCACTAGTGTTTCACTAAATTGCTGTGTTTTGAAAAAGTGTACAATTTCTAATTATGTGTATGTTTGGATAGTTATTGATTGTAGCTGTTCCATTAAGTAAGTGCAAAAAGTTTTCAGTTTGAATGTGTAAATTAGGAGTTGTGCCTAAATATAAATGTGTATATGTTTGATAACTGTATATCCCAACAAGTTTTTTTTTAGCTGCAAATGTTAAATTTTATTAATTTTTTTCTAAAATTATAAATTATGGTATTTTAGGTTAAGTACATATTCATTTACTCTTACAGGCTGGAGCAATTAATGATTCATTGAATGAACGAACATACACTCCACTGATGCTAGCTGTTGAAAATAATCATAAAGATGTAGTTTTTTATCTTATTAAAAATGGGGCATTAGCTGATTTTAAAGTAAGTTTGAATATAATCTTTCATATTAATTTACATTTTGTATGGCCCACAAGATAAGTTACACTTTTATTTGTTGGATGTTTTTTCGAAATTTTAGAGAATTTCGTTGCTTAGATTTTTCTATAAATTTATATGCAGAAATAACTTGTTTTTTACTCGTATGTTTCAGTACAGATTTTATAATAGCTGTATTATATTATAAAAAACTAAAAGCTCCATTTTATGTTTGCTGTCAAACTTGCAGTACTACAAGAAAGCTTAATGATGAATATCATTTTAGAAGAAAAAAAAATTATTTAAATATTTTTTATTATGTATAATTTTTGTTGCTATTTTGCAGTTAATCTAACCTATTGCTTACTTATTGCAGGTTTATTTACATTAAATAATCTTTTAATATTTATTTAATTTTTTTCAATTGTGAATTATTTTATTTTTTCAAAAAAAAAAAAGCAATTAAAATTAATAACATAACCATAAGAATTATTTTCAGAATAAAAAAAAAAGCTTAATTATATTTTGCGATAATTGATAGATACCTTACAAAATGTTTTACTGAAATTCAATCCAAATTTTCTGTTGGCAGAAAATTTGTATAGATATTCACAGTGTGACTAAAGAAGAGGTTTAATATATCCATTTTCTTATCTCTTTAATTATTGTATTATATTATTTTTGCACTGTTTCTTGTATTTAAAAACTATGCCTGTGTAATCCAGTTGATTTTTTATTTAATTTCTGTTCCCTTAATGTTAGTTTTATCAGGAAAATATAAATTAAATTTATGATAAAGGTGATTGCAAAAAGCAATATAACTTTACCTGGTACTGGTAATGTTGTTTCTTTTTTTTTTTATCAAAACACTATGTATTTGGGTAATAATTGAGTGATGAACATTTTACCTAGTGCATCAAAAAAAAAAAGTTTAAGAGAATATATTTTAAAATGTACTAAAACATATTATTTATTTTTCACAAGACAAGTTAAATAAATTTTGTCTTATAAACCCATTAATATTTTGCATTTATTCTATGACTTTAATTTCTTAAAATTTGAGCTAGCCTTCTTTGAAATTTTTAAAATTTCAGCATGATTAATTGATTATTATTTTATGAATTTGTTAGGGTGAAAATGGAATGTCAAGTTTTCACATGGCTGCTAAAAATGGAAACCTAGACATATTAAAAATGTTGATGAGCTCTAGGAATGTGGATATAAATGCTCAGGTAACATACTTTTCCTTTATTTTCTTTTGTACATAATATTTTATATTGATATCCATTTAACAAAGATTTTTATAGTTTATTTCAAATAAACTGTTACACATTGCTCATTTAGTAATTTTTATGTGTACAGTGCACTATAAAAAAAAAAGATATCTCCTGCAGTAACTTCTGTTATGCTAATTAATTAGTACAAATAAAGTTTTTTTTTTAAGTTACAAAAATTCTTTTAAGTTATCTGAGTAACCTAGAGGATGGTTTAAAGTTAGAGAATTTTTATTCCTTTATAACACTTGAAATTTTAAATAACTATGAAATTGTTGCAATTTTCAACAACTATTAAATAATAGTGTATAACTGTTCTAATTATTCAAATTCTCCTATTGTTTCAAAGAACACTAATATTTTGTTTCCTCCTTTTATGATCAAGATGTTTAAAAATATTTTTGAAAGCTTTAGTTTTAAAGCTGATTAACATGTATGTAAAGTGACATTGTCTTGTATATTTTAAGTCATCATTTTATTATGACATTTTGATTTGGTAATGCTAAAAATATTTCTTAACTTCTATGTTTTCATTTTAGGATGATGGAGGTTGGACACCTATTGTTTGGGCATCTGAACATGACCACTATGAAGTAGTTAAATATTTGTTAAAGAGAGGGGCTAATCCTAACATTAAAGATAGTGTAAGATATTTTTATTTATTTTTTTATTTTGTTTTTATTTGTTGCAATTTAACTATTTTGTAGAATTTACTATAGTTATAGGCCCACTCACGTAGGATTTACAGGGTCAATATGCAGCTCTATCTTCAAGATATCAGATTTATCTGCAACTTTGACACTGTCAGGCAGAAATTATTTTACAAATTGAGCCTAATCTAACACAAATTTTGTAAAATTTGCAGATATTAATCATAATACAGTTATGTTCAGAAACTTAGTTGTTTAAGTTTAACATGAATTCCATAAATCATACTTTATTTTTTTGCAAAAGAAGAAAAAACGAATGTTTATACTAAGCCTAATAAAGAAATCAGAACAAAAGGATGAACATGCTAATGTTAATATTAAAATAAAATCTTTTAATTTAAAAAAAAATTACAAATGTAATTCATGATGTTCTGATTTGTGCCTATTTAAAGTTCCTTTAAGATATTTAAAGGAAATTCATTTATCATCACAAGTACTTTGCTGATAATGATTAAGTGTCTTTATTTCAGTATCAAATTTTTTACAAATTTTAAAAAAGAAAAGTGTTCCTAATTTTTCATAAATAAAGATTAAAAAAAAAAAAAAAATCTTTTTTTTTCTTCCATTTTATTCTAAAACTCTTTTAAAATAATTTTCTTTCCAATTTTTACTTTTTTTAAGCAACTTTTTTTCAATTTGTTGTTTATTTTGAAAACAATTTGTGGTGGGAAATAATCTGCAGGTGTTGTGATAATCTGTAGTGCCTGTTTCCATGCTGGAGTGTATCATAATTACTAAGAGGATGAGACTGTCATTTTATTTTGATTTTCATAATTAATAGCGCAATGCGTTATCTTCAAATAATGTAATCCAGATTCATAAAAATAAAATTGGCTGTCTATTTTCTGTTTCATAAAGAATATGTAATAAGTAAAGTAAATGAAGAAGCTTTGCAATAAAATTTTAACATTGCTATAAATATAAATTATTTATAATATCAGGAGCACTCTAATGAGGAGAGGTGGGAAAAGATAGTAAAAGCAAAAGAGGAGTGAAAATAAACATCCGTGACTAAATTGAAGCTAATTGATTCAGATTTCTGGTTAAAAAGAATGGGATTTGTGATTTAAATGTGAATTTCTTTTTTTATAAAAATTGTTTCATTCCCTTGCTCCCTAAGTGTATTTTCTTTTATTAAGTAGATAAATCAAATTTAAGCTGCAATATGTGCTACATGAGCTTTTGCACTCATGAAATTCTTTAAATATTTAATTGAATATAATTAATTCCGATTATTTTACTGTAAGTTTAATAAACAGATAGGGAAAAACTGGTGCAAAAGAAATATGAAAACTGAGAAATAAAAATTTATTTTTCTTGCCACAAATGTATAGGTGTAAGAATGGATTAATGCAAATTTTCATCACTAAGTTAAAAATTTGTGACATTTTTTACTGTCTTAATGAATCCTTGGGGCTACTTTTAAATTTTGTTCACATTGTCAAAATTAAAGTAGTTTACACATGAAGAAACTTTGAGAATTTTGAAGTTAAATTCTTGAAGAAAAAAATAAAAGATACATTAATTATTAAACTTTTTTATTCTTTAATGGTTTGATAAAGTAAGCTTATTCTATGTCTTATGTATTACAATTACAATTTTGAATGAAATTTGAAATGATTATCTTATTTTAATTTTTAGGAAGGTAATACAGGATTACATTGGTCAGCATTCTCTGGCAGTGTTGATATAAGTTACTTATACTTAGATTATGGCTGTGATATCAATGCTAGAAATGAAAGAGGTGATACCCCACTGTAAGTACATTAGTTCTTCTTTTTTTTAATAAAATAATTTATTGTATGCTGCATTCAGTTGGGGAAAAAAAACTTAAATTCAGTAATACACAGATAATATATTTATATTATCTAAAAGAAATTTCTCTTTTTTTTTATCTTTGTACTATTTGAATATTAATTGATAAATTATAAGACCATTTCTTCAATGTTTCAATTTTGATAAATTATTATCATTTTTTAGCATGAATATAGTTTTTTTTATCAATTTTTTTATTGTTGTAAATGTTTTGTTTGTGTTAGTCAGTTTGTGTTGCTCAGAAATAAAGATTTTACTGATCTATGTAACTTACATTGTTACAAGAAGAAAAAAAAGCTTTCAGAAAACGTAATTTGTTTTGTATTAAAATATATTAGTAAATGTAAGTACCCTATTGTTATTATAAGGTTAAAGGCTATTGCCAGCAATACATTTGACAAGTGTACCCTATACTGGTGTTGTTTAAAAGTTAATTTATCTTTGCCCTTTAAACCCTTCGTACAAATATAATATTTAAACAATGTTTGCTCATAGTGCAGCACTCTTATAAAACGTGGTCAGGGGCTGATCCCAAGTGTGCTTTTTCTTTTTTAATTGGCAACAATAAAGGGCTATTTATAAGAACCAATTAAGTTGGTTAAAGGGAATAATTTTTGTGAATTTATCACATTAACCAGTTATTATAGATAATTACCTAACTTCATTATAATAACTTCATATTAATAATGACCTGTCTATGTAATTAACGTTAATTTATTTTTACCAATAACCCAAGTTTATGGTTATTAATGATCTCTGATTACTATTAATAATAAGCAGATTTAAAACTGATTATAGCATAGATTTATGCATTTTCAATAACAATAAAGGAAAATTATAATGAATTAGATTGCGTTTGTTGATTTTGTCTATGTTCTCAAAATAAGATTTTTTTTACAGCTATTTTTCTTTCCATTGTAAATATAAAAAAAAGAATTGTTCCTAAATCTTAAGTTTGTGTGCCTTCTTTTAGAATTGAAACCAAGAAAAATATTGCCATTTATTTAAAAAATTGAAAAAGAAATTTCTTAACAAAGGTTCTGTAATATCCATAAATTATTTACAATTTGAAATATAAAAAATCAATATAATATTAATCAATCAATGGGTGTGTAAATATTTCCCAGTTTCAGATCAGTGCTATCAGACTACTTTCAGAGTAATAAAATTATTAAAATAACATTTTTATGAGTAATATTTTTGAAATAATTATAAAAAGTCATATCAGAAATTTTTTCTACACAGAATTTAACGGAATATTTCCCAGTTATAAGATATGACAGTTTACAAGATTTTTTTAAATATATGTTAGGGAAATATATCTGGAAAGTTTAAAAGTTGTCTCAAAGACCTTCATTCAAAGTTTGGCAGATATATTAATTAAATGTTTCCTTAAAATAAATATTTTAAGAACACATCATCGTGTCAAAAACTTGAGAGAAAAAGAAATTAATAATATATTAACGCTTTATTTGATTAAAGTTTGTATTTCTTTTTGTAAGTAAAATTTTATAATATATATATATATATAAAGGATAACTATTATTTGATATCTGATACTCTTAATAATATAGTTTATGTTGTTTGAGTTTATTATATTTTTTAGTGTTGATATATTGAATTATTTGAAATAAGTTAAAATAGCTCATTGTGTTAATGATTTTAAAATTTTAATTTTTTAGTCATATTGCAGCCAGACAAGATGCATTAGCTTGTGTCACGTAAGTGTTTGTTTATTTTTTGTCTTGCATAATTTTTTTTTCATTGCTTACTTATGAAATTATTTAATATATATTTCTTTTCTTTATGCAGGTTATTTTTGTCTAGAGGTGCTGATGTCCAAATACGAAATAAAAACAACCAATTACCAGCTGAGGTATTAGGATTGATTCATGAAGGCTATGCTATTTTTATAATCTGTTTTCTTTTTCTTAATTTTTAATTCTCGGTCATGAAAATAAAACTTTATTTTTTAGTGTGTGATAGACAAGACTAGTGATACTCACTTATCACTAAGTCTAAACATGTTGTTGAAAAAAATTGCTGGAAAATATCAACATAGATCCGAAAAAATATTATCTAAGTAAGTTTTATTTCTTAAAAAACTTATAAATATACACTTTTAGTCTTTCACATTTTTTCCTAACTTACTGTTATGATAATTTGTTTTATTTATTAAGAAACTATGTAAATTTATGACTTTTTGATTTCAGGGACATTTCACGAGGCAAAGAGCAAATTGCTATACCTTGTGTTAATGAAGTGGATGATGAAGGTCCACCGCTAGACTTCCTTTATGTCACAGAAAATTGTGAAACAACGCCCCTGAACATTGACAGAACTATAACATCATTGCAGGTACTCAATTTTCATAGTTTTTTTTTTAGAAGGTGCTTACACGTTTAAAAAAATTAGTAATCATTTTTGTCATTACTGTTGTATTGATTACACTTAAGTTAATTCAAAAATACACCAGACATCAATAAAAAATAGATTGTTCTAGTTGTATTGCAATGGAATTAGGTTTCATAAGTTTGTATTTATTATGTTATTTTACTGTTTTGAGTTTGACATGTGAAGTTTTTGAGAAATACTACATTTCACTAGTAGTAGCAAATCTTCTGGAAAGACTGTTTTTTTTTTTATCCCAAGATTTATTTTTAACTCTCGATCAGCATCCACGGCCCAGTTCCACCCTGCCCACATCCCATGACTGGGTACTGTTAATCTAGTAATTTGAATAAGTGATTTCATCATTGTTCACCAAATCTGGCTATTGTGATATTGAACTTATACCAACCTATCTCATAATAATGATCAACATTAGTGTTAATTTTCTATCTTGTCAAAAGTTAAGTTACTCAATTAGCTATTCATTACCAAAATATTCTCAGCCTGTAAAAATTTTGTTAGCTGTGCAAAAAAATATTTGATTTTGGGTTACTTTAATTTGCACTGCATCTACCTTGATTTGTTTTAAATCAATTTATCATAAATGATTAATATTTTTATATGAGTGAAAACTATGATAAAAGTAGCAAAGGAAACATACTAACAATAAATATTTATGTAATTGTGTTGAATATTTGAAGATGAGAGAAAAATTGTATGTACTGTATACTTTCAATATATCGAACTTTGATATCTCGAAAACCTCATTATTTAAAAAAATAAATAAATCTTACATATCCACTTAATATTAATTGCAATTTATGTTGAAGAGTTTCTTGTCAAAACTTTGTTATGTTAAATACTTTTCAAGGTAAAAAACGAATTTTTTTGGAAAAATCACCGTGAACCACCACTCAACATTACTGTGTCCCAAGAAAAAATGCTATCCCACACATTTTTTTTTACATTTTAACTTGTTATCTAAATCTTTTTAGAATTCCTTAATCTTTGAGATATCAAGAATATACTGTAGTTAATCCAAGAAGATTTTCACAATAATTCCAAATAAAAAAGAAATATCTTAATAAAAAAGAAATATATTATTTTGAATATATATATTTTTTCATATATAATATATCTATGTATTTTTTCAGTCTTGCAGTTGTGAAGATGATTGTTCGTCATCCAACTGTGTATGTTCAAGCATTAGTTACCAGTGTTGGTATGATAAGGTAAGTTATGTATATCATATGTTTTTATTGATTTTTAAAAAAAATTATATTTTAATTATTATTTTAATTAACTGAAGCTAAATATTTTATAAAAATGAGAATAAAGTTAATCAGCAGCACAATAGTTTAATTTATTTCGAGCTTAGGAAAAAACCTAACTTAAATCGACTACAATGAATGGCCTAATTTAATATTCTTTTTCAAAGAATTCAGTGTAACTTTTGAGGTTATTTTTTCCTTATATTGAGATTCATATTTTAGTTTGTTATGATTAATTAAAAATATTCTGTTATGCAATTGAAAAAACAATGTAACTAAATAACAATAGATTTCAGGAAAAGCAACTTGACAACTTTTTATTTTTTGTCCTTTCTAATGCTATGAAGTTTAAAATAAAATGTCAGAAAAACTTATAAAAAAAATATTTTTAGCAATAAGTAGCTTATTCAGAAAAAGTGAATTGCATAAAAATCTCAATACTTAATTTTTTGTTTCTTACAATTGATTTTTCTATTGCATAGCAGTGTTAGATTAATTAAACTTATCTTATTTTATAGGATGGCCTGCTTCTGCCCAATTTTAATTTAGTTGATCCACCTATGTTATTTGAATGTAATCGGGCTTGCTCATGTTGGGCACTTAGTTGTCGAAATAGAGTTGTCCAAAATGGCATAACGTAAGTTTTATTTATTGTTTTATGTTTTATTTTTTAGTAATCATTAAGTTTATGTTTTAAATGTGGAAAATGTTTTAATGTGAAAAAAAGTTAAATGTGTTTTAAATCCAGTGTTTAAATGTGGAAATTTTGTATAAAGAAATGTTCAATTTGTTCATTTACACTTGTTATTTATTTCTTATATTTTGAAAAAAAAAATTTTTTTGTATCCTTTGGAACAAGTTCATTCTTTTTTAGTATTACAATTGTGTTTCTTTTTTTCCTTCTTTTCATCAGTTTAATAGTTTATGTCTTTAAAAGCTTGTCTTTTAGCATTAACAGTAGAAAGGCTCAACATACCTAAAAAGTCCTAAGGGACCAGTCTGGTCCTTCCCAGATTTTTTTTGTGTAAATCAATAAAACATCAAAAATCATGGAATATAATCATAAATAATTTCATATGAAATATATTAGAGAACGGATCATTAAAATTCTTATGGTAATTTAATTGATTTGATAACAATTTGATACAAAAAAATTGGATAATTGGAGGACTGACTTTTTAATTATACCTCAAAATGTTTAGTTTCTGATATAATTAGTTTCAAAATTAGTTTCTGATATAATTGATTGTACTTTTTTCTATAAATAAGAACAAATATTAAGTTAAAATACATATGTGTTTTTAATGAAACTGCGGATACCTCATACCTATTAAAGGTACCCAAACCTACCTGGGGTTATGGAGTACCAACCAAAATACATTAGGAATCACTGTGGCCCACCTCGTCATTCCGAGTATAAAGTACTCTCTATATATATTCCTTTAAGGTTAACACATGAATGATTAAATAGGCACTTAAATTGAATGAAATTATGAAACGTCAAAAATACTTAATACTTTTATTAACTTATTTTAGAATTACTAAGTTAAAGAGTGGAGCTAAAATGGCTCCAGCCATCTTTATTGTAGTTTTTCTTTGCCTCTGAAGTTTTAAAATATTGAAGTTTTACTAGTGTATTGTAAAAATTTACAACTACAATTAAAAAATTATATAAGGAAGAATATACAAAAATTATATACTTCTTTTTACAATTAAATTTTTATTAATTTCTTTTTGTGTCATAAAAATTATTCAACTATTTGAATCACAAATTATATCCAGTATACAATTATTATTTGAACCAAAGATCATCCCTAGCAAATAATATTTTTGTACTGAAGTATTATTTCAGCCTTAAATCATTTATAAGGAGAATTTTTTTTTTAGATTAAATTATTATTTGAATCAAAAATCATTTGTGACAAGTATTATTTTTACTGTTGTTGTTGCTTATCCCCTTGGTCTAGAGCTCTAGACCAATTTTTATTGTATTTTTACTTCTAACTATTATCACTTTTTATAAACCTTTAAAAGTCAACGATAAATTATATTCTTTTTTTAAATATAGTTGTCGGCTGCAGCTCATACGTACCAGAGGAAAAGGATGGGGTGTTAGAACATTGAAAGATATCCCCAAAGGAACATTTATTTGCGAGTAAGTTCTTTCATAATAAATTAGTTACTTTTTATATGGATGATCTATCATAATAAATCATGATTTTTCAATTTTCTACTTTAACTTTTGAAATTCTAGTATTTTCTTAAAGCATTTATTCTATTCCAGTCTATTGATGACATTCCATTAAAGTGAAACAAGTTTAAAATTGTTTTGAGATTTTTTTTCACTATACACTGTGTATATTAAATAATATTTTAGAATTATTTTTATTTCTTTTTTTACAAATTTGATATAAAATGATTTAAATGTAATTGCATATCTAATAAAAAAAAACTATTATAAAATTTAGGTATGTGGGTGAGATGATATCTGACTCTGCTGCTGATAAAAGAGCTGATGATTCGTATTTATTTGATCTAGACAATCGAGTAAGTGTGAAACAAGAAAAAATATTACTTTTGCATTGTTTGATAAAATTTCATGTCCTTATACTTTTGCTGTATCTCTTTTTATCTTTATTTGAAATTGCAAAAAAATATTTTACTTTCTTTCGTTAAATTTAGTGAAATTTAAATAAAGTCATAATAATAAAGTTTTAAATAAAGTTTTAAATTTAGTGACATTTAAGTAAAGTTTTTAAATAAAGTCATAATTGTTCTTAATGCAAGTAAAAAATAGAAGCTGTTTTGATTTTTTTTCGTCCATAGGATGGAGAAACCTATTGTTTAGATGCTCGATACTATGGAAATATTAGTAGATTTATAAATCATCTTTGTGAACCTAACTTAGTCCCTGTTAAAATGTATGTTGATCATCAGGATCTAAATTTTCCTCGGATAGCCTTCTTCAGTTCTAGAGACATAAAACAATATGAAGAACTAGGGTAAGTTTGGTTATTATATAATTTTTTCTTCTGTTGTAATTTTCCGTATTTTAGTGTGTAAAAGTTAATTGTGTGAGTTTTTTTAAAACGTTTTCCAATTTTTCACTGGTGTAAAAATGTAGACTCAAAAAATATTTTGAGTTTCAAGAAATTATAATTTCATTATGTAAATTTATTGCAAACTATATTACACATCCAAGTACTTAGAAAATTAAATATTTCTTTTGAATACTCAATTTTTAATTAATAGTTTTTAATAAAGAGTTTTTATCTTTAATAATTAAGAGATTGTTTATAAAATGTATGTAATATTTACTGTAAAGAAAAAACATAAAAAGCTTTCCCTTTTCCAAATTTTATCTACTCAGTGACTAATTACGTAAAATTGATGATTAAATGGAAGTAAGTCAAGATTAGTATTTCAAATGTTTAAAAAAATGCATGCGTACTGTCCATGAATACTAAAATGCTTAATAAGAAATAAATAGCTGTAACGGCTCTTTGCAAAGTAAGTAAAAGGAAAAATTAAACCCCTGAATTTCTGTTTTGTTGACCAACCACCTGCCCTATGTCAGTTTAAGGCTAAAAATAGGGTAGCTTGGAATGGAATTCTGAGGAAAACAAAGGCCTACAATGGGCTGTGGCCTCATTGAGGAAAGAAGGCTGTTAGCTTTTTATTTAATTTTTCAGTAATAGTATTTATGTAAAAAATAGGCATCTACGTAATAAAATATTTATTAAAAGCAATTATTATAAAGAATAGTTGTTTTTATAACTATTTTGTTAAAAATGATGTATTTATAACATATTTCACAAATGTTTTTTTTTTTTTTTTTTTTTTTTTTTTTTTTTTNCGTTTCTTTTTTTTTTTTTTTTTTTTCAGATTTGATTATTGTGAAAAATTTTGGGTAATCAAGTACAAATACTTTACTTGTGACTGTGGCAGTTCTAAATGTAAATATTCTAAAGACACTATTCATCACACTTTAGCTAATTATTATCGTAGAGTTAAAGAAGAACAGCAATTAGAAGAGGGTACATTGCAACCACCCATCACGGCAGAATCATAGTTTCTGTGTCATTTTAGCTTTTGTATTATGTTTACGTAATTTAACTTACTGTAATATTGGAGACTTGATGAATTTTTTAAAAAGTTGAAATACTTCGAGAAGGAAAAGTTTTCTTCTTTTTTTTTAATTTTTGCCTGGAAAAATTTTTTAATACAGAAAGAATTATAACTGTTTGTTTATAAAACTATTATTACCATTTTGATGCTTTCAGCAGTTATATTTAAAAGAAAAAACAGTCTTGTAAAAAAAAAGTTTGTAATCAACTATTTTCATTTATGACTTTTGATATTTCTTTTGTGAATATTATTCAAACGGTATCTTTAAATTGATAATTTTCTTCAAGTGTATTTAAAAATTTAACCCACTGTTGGTTCTGCACGTAAAAAGTACTGCACGTATTTTAACCTGCAGTCTTCCTCACATAGCAAAACCAATTTTTCTATGTTATTAGATACTTGGCTTTCTGTGAGAAACACAGAAAATTATTCAATTCTGTGTCTTTTTTTTAATTTTTTAACTAGACCTGGTATTTTCATATTATCGAATACTGTAATAGCCAATGAAATATATATTTGAAATATATACAATTGGTCCTAAAAACCTATTGACTTACAAGTAATGCAATTGTATACAATATTTTCCGCAAAGTACTATTTTTCATAGAGAGATCCTGGTTTTCATAACAGGATAACAATCAATTTACAAAGCAGTACTAATAAATGCTAATTTGGTTAAAAAAATTTTGCTGTAGAGAACTGAGAAGTAACAACGAGAATCAGAGTTTAACCTTTTTAAAATGAATATAATTATGCGTGCCTTTTGTGAATCTGTTTTCTTAATGCTTTTGAGAGTATTGAATCTTAGTAGAATAAAATGAGGTTTGTCAATTTCAAGAAATGCATTCAATAAAATTGTTGTGTTACTGATTAATTATTTAAAATCTCATATGAAATTTAAATATTGTTTTTTTATGTTTTTCAAATGACCAGCTTGTTTGAAAATGTTGGATGTTTCCATTCTAAATTTACTTGCAATATTTATTTCAACATTCTCAATCTATTGAAGTTATTGTGTAATTTATCTTTTCCATTGTATTTATCAGTATGAATTTTTAATTCTATCGACTGCTTTTTAATATTTTATTAAAGTTTACAGAACTATTTAATGTCTCATTACATCCCATGCCTTTAAAGAGCTGCAATAAATTATGCTATTGGCTAACTGCTTTTAACATGAATTAACTCTATTTTTATCAGTGAAAAAAATCATAATTTTCTTATATATGTATCTCTAAACAAGTGTAAGCTATTTTTTTTATTTTAATTAAGTTTTTCAAATTTATTTGAAAATTAATCAAATTGTTATGTTTTAGAATATTGTTAATGCTTCATCTATTTCGCTGAATAGAAAAGATATAATATATTTTTAAAAATGTAATATTATTATTTGATAATTGTAGTAATCACAAGTTTGTCTTGCAACTAGTGTATTTTTGTAATACAACTAATATATTGTTCATTAAGGTTTTTATTTTCCAACATCACTAATTATTAAAAGTTATTATTTTTTAAAAAAATACCCATGTTGTTACTTTAAAGTGGAAGATAAGTTAAGTTGCCCATAATAAGATTTGGTTTAAAATTAATTATGTATCATTTTTCAATTTTTAGATGATAAAGCAAATAATGTATCCTAATTCATTTTTTGTCACAATCAATATGCTCTTTTACCATTTAAAATATTGAATACACATTTTCTTGCTTTCTGAGTACATACTCTTAGTGTTATGTTTGACATGGTGTAAGTACAGAAATGTAATCTAGTACCTAACTTACTTGACAAATAATCAGTTCAGAAAGAAATAATGTCCATTTAAAGAAAGTAGTACTATGTGTTAAAACTCCCAAATATATTACAGTTGTTAAAAATAGCTTACAAGTTGGATGTCAAAAAATTTTTTGGAAGCCATCGGATTGAAAAAGGGAAAATAGACACACGCATTTAATGTTTTTTAAAAGCTATCCATTGTTACTAAACATGATCTTTCGCTGTCATCACCTAGAGTCAAGATGAATAGCAACATTAAAATTCTAAATATTAGCTCTTAATTATTTTTTTTTAGGATAGATTCGGATTCTTGGTGAGAAAGTAAACTAATTTGTATATGCATTTTGCTTCAAAGAGGAGTTGTACCATCAAAAATTAAAATGAAATGCTATCTATTAGACTGAAAAAAAAAATTGTTCAATATCTTTTTCAAAAAAAAAAATTGAAAATAATTAATGCAAAATATTTTTATGTTCTTAATATAATCAGTCTCGAGACATCACCATTTTAAGCAGCTTGTACCCAATGTTTATTTTTCATGGCACATCTGTGAAGCAAAATGCACAAACTTATGGGCCACTTTTTTTCTGGAGAATACTCATCTGCAATAAAGAACAGGAGTCCTAATTTATAATTTCAAAATGTCCTCAAGCTTGTGGTGGAAGTTGCCTCAGGGGTTGAGATGGAAGGTCGAGTTTTGTATAATTGAATAACTTTTAAAGAAATTGAATAAATAAATTTTTACTTTTTTTTAATCTGATGCATATTTTTGAGATATTTGCGCATTTGGAGACTTTTTTTTATACCCTGTATATGTTTTAGGGCATCGTCTATATTACACAATAAAGTTTTTAAAAAATAGCAAATACTGTATGCGAAAATTGTATGCTAAACCCTTCTTGTTAGCAAGAGAGTAAATATAATAGTTTAAAATTAGAGCTCTGCTTTGACGAGTTAAACGGTAGCTTTTTTATTCTCCCTGAAAGAAGAGCTTCTAGAAACACTTTTAAATGGACTTATGTAAGAAAAATCCACTGTTGCTATGACATCCATTATTTTTAAATATACAATGGAGCGTTCACCATAATATCATATATGCATTAAAATGAGTTTAAAAGCAGACACAGACTATGAAGCTACACTAAACACTGACAACATCCAACGGTTTCAGTTATCAAAAGTGGTCACTTTGCTTGTCTTACCCATAAAGTTTTACGACCTGTTGTTTTCAATCAAGATGAATGTATAAAAACCTTAGACCAGTGTTATATTTTATTGTATCACAACATTGAAGTGTGTCTTCGTTATGAATGAAAATATCTCATTGTTTTGTATAATGTTCATAATAAAAATATTCTCATGAGTTTTTTCTTTCTTTAAAAAAAAAATTATCTTATGAATAAATTTATGGTAACATTTATCGGGGTAAAAATTTTATGTAAATTTTGTTTAAACTTAAGCATTATGTAATGAATAAGTCAAAACAGTTGCTTAAAGCTTTAAAAGGTTGAGACATTCCAGAAATAATTTTTTAGCTGCTATTTATTATTATTATTATTTTAGGTTTTTCCTTATAAGGTTATCTTTCTTCTTTCACCAGCATGAGAAACTTTTTTTCTTATTTTTATTAACTTTAATCGCTATGACCTATTACAAATAGGAAAGTAGTCTGGAAATTGGAGCTTTTTTCATAAATGAAGTGAAAGTTAAAATTGAAATATTTTGTTAGGTTTAAAAGGTTTAGGTTTATTTAATTTTTTTTAAGATGCTGCGATCAGTTGACTTATTTTAAGAACAATTTTGTATTTCTGATTTAGTTCCAGCCAAATACTTGTACTTTGTAAAAAATTGCGATTATTATAAGTTCTATTTTAATTCTATTCAACACATGATCCAAAATTTAGCTTTCTTACTTCATGGGAAGTTGAAGAATTTGTGATGAGTGAGTGGTCTATATTCAGTGTGCGATTTTTTTATTCATTATTATTTTAAACTGCAAGTAAATTCTTTATTTCGGTTCCACTCTGTTTCTATAAACTTTCAATATTGTTTAGTTATTTATATTATCATGCATGTTAGTGTAGTTATATTTGTTTAGTACATATTTATTAATTTTTAATATTTTAACTAATCAACAATTTTTTAATTTTGCTTCTACCATTATTCAAATGGTACAAGCAAATTACTTGTATTACAAATGGTTGGTTAGAATAACCTTCTAACTTGGTGAACATAAATTCCTTTTATCTCTCAATATATCTTTAAATATAAGCAGAATAATTATGTAAACATCAACAGTAAGCTTTTACATCTGGACACAGCTCAAAATGAGTGTTTATGAAAATGGACACAGCTCTAAATGCGTGTTTAAAAATACTTAAGAGAGGTTTTTGAGAAATTAGGTATTTTAATTTATGAAATGCGGCTTTTTGATATGTTTGAAACTGAAAGGGGCTGTCCTTACATAGGAAAGAAGGCATGACTTTTCTGAAATAACCAGTAAGTCCGTAAAATCGACGTACGTCTTTTACATTTTTGAGATCTGGATGATTGAGAACGGCTTTAGTTTTGGACGGGGAAGGGTTTCTCTTACGTGTCCAAGTACCGTTTTCCATTACATGTACAAGAAATTCAATCTTATTACATAAAAATTGGCATTTTTGAAAATTTATTTCGAGTTCATGAGCTACGTCAAGAACACTTTCGAAATACTCGAGAGTTTCAGATTCATTAGCAGCCGGTATAACAATAGCAATTATAACGCATAAAAGTTGAACCGTTACTAAGTCCGAAGGGCATACGTCTGAATTGATAGTGACCATTATGTGTAACTAGCGTATTTACAACTTCTTTCACTGACCGGAGCGTGCAAGAACTCATTTTTTAGGTCAAGTGTAATGAAAACTTTGTAATTTTGAAGACAATCTAAAATTATCAATTAAAGGTAGAGGGTAATTATTCTTTAATTAACTTTCGATTTAAACGTCTAAAATCAATACAAACTCTAGATTTACCTTCTTTTTTTTTGAACTAGTACAACTTGAATAGCGCACGGAGATGAACATTGTTCAACAATTCCATTTTTAACCCATTCGTCATCTTGTTCGTCTACAATCAAGCTCAGCAAATGGCAAACGTAGGGATTTATGGAAAATTGGTTCATCGTCAGTTAGCACGATATCAAGTTCAATATTCGCGGTTTTCGTCTTGTCTGGCGAATACGTCATTAAAAGTTGCTCAACTTTTACACGAGTTTGTTTCGAAATGTTAGGACCGATATCATAAGTGGGAGAATCATCAGCAATTGTCATAACATAATTTTCAATTACAGTATCAGAGGGCTTAGAAATCTTTGAAAATTGAACTCCGGCTAGTGAAATAGAGAGATTTGCTCATTGAATAACGTCGCGGCCTATTATTTGATCGTAATTTTTACAATTATTCGGCACAACAGAAATAGTGATAGGGAAATCATCGATAATAATTTCTGAATCAAAGGAACCGATGATGTTTGTTTAGGAAAAGCCAATGGTGGTGTGTCTACTTTTCTTAGCAATGCCAAATTTTTACTTGTATATCTTTTAAATCGTTAAGTTTATGATTAGAAATAATTACTTCTTTACACCTATTAATATGAGAAGGAAATTCGTGAACAATATTTACATTGGCATGAGGCACAGAATTATTATTTTTGTCACACTCGTGTAGCTTTATGACAAAACAGATTACATGATAGACATTTGGGGCCTCCTGAATGATTAGAACGCTATTTAGATAAATGATCGATATCATTGCAGTTAATACAACGTTGAGGAACTTTAGCTGATTTTGAAACATTCAGTTTTGAAGGTTTGCTATAGTTGTTTTGTTTTAGGCTATCATGTATATGGGGAAGATTGGACGTTTGAGGATTATTGATCCGATTGCTGACAACAGTTTCATACGTACGCAATATCTGCTTAGATTCTTAAAATGAATTCGCCTCACGAAGAATAATATTTTCAGAATGAGTTTCGTTAATTCCATTTATGACATACTGAATTATAAATAATTCATCAATAGTAGAATCGCGTCTATTCACCAATTTGTGCATTGAATTCAGTGGCGTACGCAGAATTTTTTCAAGGGGGTTGTTCATAATTTTCTGAAACTACTGAAAGTAATTCGTGTCTGTAATAAAGCACTATTATTTCCCTAATTTAGACAATTTAACTTTTTATTTCGACAACATTGTTTAGTTAAATTTTGTTTTTATTTTTTAAGTTTAAGAATATAATTTTTTTTATAATAAGAGGTAAAATATTTTATTTTNAACGATTTAGCAGTTTCGAAAATTAAACGTTTTGTAAAATTTAATTTCTAAGAGGAACTTATTGCAGGAAATAAATCAAAATTTTTCTCAACATCTCGAAAAAACTTTTAACGGAATAAAGATCTTCACCCGAAAATTTTCTACCATTGGAAGAAATATGTCTTAAAAGTAACCAGAAATATGAATTCATTTCCGAATTCGCTAACTCCTTTGAAAAAGAAAAAGGGTTCACATATTTTGTCTACCTAATGAATAATTTTGGTTTAAAGAAAAAGATGTCCTTGAATNATATATTGGCACAGAAATATCCGCTATGCTAGGATCTCAAAGTTTCGAGCTGGAATGAATAACTTCAATAAGCACAGCATCTCCAATGGTATTGTTACTGATTTTTTCACTAGTCGAAATAGTGGCGACGACCGGTTCGGCGATTGAATGAACTTTTTGTTAAGACAAAAATAAAACAGATTTAGCGACGAGCTCCGAAAGACAAGCGGCAGAGATAACTCTTAGTCTGACTAACTAACTCCACTGTACTCCGTTCCCCCTTTTATATAATTTTTCACCACATCTTCAAAATTCTCGAATTGACAGAACGTCTAGGATTCCAGAATCAACGCGTAAAGACCTCGCGAATGACAGCTAGTCTCGAAAACTGTACTGGCAGGACAGAAAGGAGCCAGTCCGTAACAGTATCACGTGAATTTGGTTTCAAAAGTACAACCCTATTATAGTAAATGTTTTTTCAGTATTCTGAGAAATACCGTGAGAAAAAAAGGCAAATAAAAATATATAGTCTTAAAAAATAATAGCACGCATAATTTCTGCAAAAATTGTTATTTTTGCCCTTTTATCTGAGCTCAAGGGGGGTGTTTAAACCCCTAAACCCCTCCCTTGCGTACGCCACTGATTGAATTAAAACAGTGTATATAAATTTCGGATTTCAACATTTTTAAATTCCTGGTAAATTTCTATTGAAGTAACAGTATCTGATTTTTTTTAATTGATTCTTTGATTAATTCTTTCTTTTTGAAAACAAAAAACGATTTAGCAGTTTCAAAAATTAAACGTCTTGCAAAATTTAATTTCTGAGAGGAACTTATTGCAGGAAATAAATCAAAATTTTTCTCAACATCTCCAAAAAACTTTTAACGGAATAAAGATCTTCACCCGAAAATTTTCTACCATTGGAGGAAATATCTCTTAAAAATAACCAGAAATATGAATTCATTTCCGAATTCGCTAACTCCTTTGAAAAAGAAAAAGGGTTCACATATTTTGTCTACCTAATGAATAATTTTGGTTTAAAGAAAAAGATGCCCTTGAATATTTGATGTATGGAACAGTCCCTCAATAAATTATCGTTTCTTCTTTTAACATCTGTAGAAGAACTTGAAGGAATATAATACATCTCTTCATTCAGCGTACTTTGAATTTCTCAGAACAAATTTCTTTCTTCCAGTTTGATTTTATATATATCTTCCAATACATAAGCCTTAAGTCACAATAGCAGGAATCTATATGTGAACGTCTTAATGAGAAGGTTGGTTACGTCTTTTTGGATTGATTTTCGTCTGGATTTGTAGGTACGTTATCTATTTTTCATCATCCATCTCAGGGTTTTCTAGGGGATTTTTTCTCTTCAGGATAGTAGGAGGAAAGGTCTAATTTAACCAAACATTGATTAACAAATACAGGACAGAATACAACAATTAACACAAAAGAAGAGGTACGACCATGGGTACCATGGGGTACGCTTCCAACGTTATCTCGAATAGCTTTTGATTCTTATCATATTTTACGTTTCTGAATGTGTTGATCATTACATTTGAACTTATTACAATTATCCAGTACATTCTCAAACTCCGATGTACTTTAATGCTAAATAGTTACCATATTCTTTAAAAAACTTTTCCATTCTTTGGCGGCTTGAGAAATTCATAAAACAACTAATTACCATGTTTTACTTCACTTGCTCTGTTTGTGAGATCAAAAATCTTGCAATCGGAACTTTGTACAGTTTCCTACAAATTATCGAGCTTAAATTAGAA